GTCTGCGTTTGATCGACCTTAAGATCGCCGCATAGTTGTAAAGCTCCCACATTAAAACATTAATGCTAGAGAATCAAAATATCATTTTTCGAAGGCTTTTAGAAGTTTTTAGAAAATTTAAATATTTCTTTAACGGAAAAAAAATTGTACTAGATGTAAGACTTACATACACTTTTGCCCGACTATTTGAGTCACAGCGAAGGGATAGACTCAAGTCACCGCGGCAGGTATAAGATACTCTGTCAAAACTACGCTATGGAAAATTTCAGTATTGATAATATTGGCTTGAAACCTATGAAAATTCCTAAACTAGGTCGACATCCTAGGTCAAATATATATACTTTCTTTAATAATCTGAGTCAATATGTAATCAGTAACTAGTTGTACCACTTAGTATTGCACTGTGAGAAATTACATTTTGAAAAATTGTGATATTAGAGTTATTTACGTTCCCAAATATTACGTTGTTTTAAATAACTCATGATATTTGTGGTGCAATTTTTCACAAGGAGTTTTAAATATTATGTGTGTAAAAACATTTTTGAAATTCATATACAGCAGCCGTAAAGGTTGTTTTAAGCTACCTTCAAACAGTATTTATGTAGAATTCCGCCCATATTTTGAAAAAGGAGAAGTTTTGTGCCTAGCTTGTAAAAGAAAATACAGTTTAATTAGTAATGTCAAATTTAAACAGTGGGAGAATGTGAATGTCAGGTACTAATTAACTGACCTGAGAACAGTGCAGTTTGTTAATAAATTTAGCGGACAAAAAGACAATAAATATGAATTTACAGGATAATGAACTTATAATGATGGATTTAACTGAATATATTACATATGCTTTTAAAATGAAATTCAATTCGCGTATTATACCAAGATCAAATGACTATACATCAAATTTCAGTTGCTAAAGAAATTAAGGATAAAATCGAGCAAGAGAGATTCGCTGTTATATCTGAAACTTTGAGACATAAGTTTAAGACATAGTTGGACATGTGCGTACTATACACAACCAGCGGTTAGCGCGCGGTTCGCTTTTTTCGGTACTGTGTTAACCTAAATAGAGGCCACTCGATTTTTATGACGGTTTCTTATGTAAAAAACAACAAGGAACACGATGGCGTAACAATTTTTGAAAAAAAATATTCGTTTCGAGATATTGTCGATTTTTCGAAACAATTGCGTATATAACAATGTAATAAATAAATTAATAATTTTGTTATTATTTATATTTAAAAAATAATGTTATTTCGCATCTTTTTAAAAAAGTTTATGCCGATCTTTATCAGTCTTCGTGAAATTGAAATAACAAAATAATCCTATATTTGTTCAACAGTTCATAATTCGGTCCCTTATCAAAACATATTTTGATCTAAAATTATGCACACATGTTGACCTTTATATATGTCATAAGAATATTAACTGAATAAAATTGTTGAATTGAATGTTATAAGTTGTATTAAATTGCCTATGAATAACCCAAAAGAAAAAATTAATTCCTCACCCGTAAAATTATCAAACTCAGAAAATTCCTTCACTGTTGACCTGATAGAGATATTTTGTTTGCTCATTTCATCTGTAAAAAATATTTTCAACCTTTCTTAATTGAATAAATGGAAAAACTTGAAATTAAAATAATTTTTTCCACTGCACATATAAATTTTGTTTTGCAGTAGTTGTTACACGTATACCTATAAATTACACTGACTTCGTATTTTTTTTAAAATTTCAAATATCAGGACACAGTGAATAACTATAATTATGTAACAATGGCTATTATAAAATAATATTTTCAATACTCCGTGCGTAAAGTGCGTCTTTCCCGCACGCTCGGCAGAAAATATGCGTTGATAACCGCACTTTCTACACGTCGTATAAAAAAATACGGTACGGCACATGTTCGGGAAAGAGTTTCTCGCTTCGCTCGGGCGTAAACGCCACGCGAGAAAAGAATCTACTTTCCCGCACTTGTATCGTAATGTACTATAATGATCATAAGATAAAGTAAATCACTTTGTTATAACACCAAAGTGTTTTATCTTTGAGTGAGGCAATGAAATCATACACAAAAGATAGCGATCTATACCGTATTATATTGATAAAGAAAAGCCTTTAGTAAGAAAATTATTTGGCTTACATATCTTTCAATATTACACACACATACACGCGCACGCACGCACAGAGCACTCACTTCATAGCGAATATCTATATACGGAAGTAAATAATAGCAGTGAGTGAAATATACATGTATTTTGATTCCGCTTCTACGGCCCATAATATCTACGTCGAGCTTATCAGTAAACATAATTAACATGTACCATAAGTAAAATTCGATAATACTCACGATTATCTCATTAAATTGCTAAACATGTCTACCACGTCTCTACTGCGACTGTTCGTACAACAAATTTTACGTATGCAAATTAACCAAAGGCAATTATAGTGAATTTCGTGGCACGTAGTTCAACGAATTGAGGTAAAATTCGTAGCAAGTATTTGACATGCCGGAAGAATCAAGGTAAGCCCTGTGCGTAGCCACCCACCGGAGAAAGACGATTTCGTGTAAGCATTTTTGTACTCAGCAGAGTCACAAAGAGTTTCGGTAAAATTGTAATTATGCATTTCAGTCACTAGCGGCTGCTAAGAATCGGTCAAATGAGCTGCGAGCTACCGATCTGAAAGACGCGTGCTTGCAAGATTTTCCTTCGTAGCTGAACAAGCAGTGGTCGGTTTGGAAGACTGTTCGCACTCGAGCGTTTACGTCCCAAGCAAGAAGAAGACTAGCATCAGCTTGTTCGCGTGGTCTTACATCTACGATGGCGCATTTCGAGTCAGAGAGAAACGGTAGACGGCAAAGAGTCGTACGTGATCGACTACGACTACGTGATACTCGCGTCGGCAAACTACGGCACGGGATCCCTGGGTTTCTCGAACACCTCGAGGCTCACGCCGTGCCGGGCAAATGGGCTCGAAGGATTAATCCGTGGCTCTCGGAGGGGCTGGCGATAACGCCGAGGCACTTCGCTGCCGACCGTGGAGAGAGTCACTCTTCTCGATGCAAGCGCCGGGACCAGCTAGCGCCCATTACTGCTAATACTTGTCGCCTACTACTCACGCGGAACCACGGACTATTTCGTGCTGCTATACCTTCTCAGCGGCAGCACTTACATTCCTGCGACAATGGCCGCATGCTCACGGGATACAGTATACAGCAGCTAACGAGCGTGGAAATGTAGATTCTTGTCCCTTGCAAGGTTTACCCTCGGACGAAGCGAGGTCTCTTTCGCGAGAGCTTGTCGCATATATGGCTACGGTATTTTTCAAAACAATCTGTGGAAAGCGCCAATTTAAGGATACGTTTTTCGTCGAGCCTGCGGCAAAGGATCGTAATTATCGCACAAAAGCTACTGCGTTGGCTAGGTCGCTCGATTGTGTACAGTTGGTCCAATGTCGTAGCTGCCACCCTAGACGATGTTTAAAACAAACTGCAAAGGTACGCGTACTCGCAACTACGGACGCTTGGGTTCCGCGCCAAAACGTATCAATTAGATTTTAATTAGGTGCGTGGCAAAAGCTGCCTCCTCTTTTGAAACTCGTGGCCACCTATATAGTGATACGTGGCAATAGAGAGTCGTTTAATCCCAAATTGGACGTGCGTAACATACAATGCCTCAAATCCAATCAAAAGATGTTTGCCTTGGTATTAACTCATAAATATCATTGTTCGTTTGTCTTTTTAGAATATCGAAAATTTAATATCAGACAGTGATAATAATTTTACGTCGTCTGGCCATATATTCAGAAATACTGATTATTCAAAAGCGAATCCATCTAACATTAAATTATAATGCATTATTATTTAAACATTTTTATGTATTACTTCACAAAGATAATTTGACTGTTTAATTTTTTTCAATTACGATTTTTAATAACTAGATAAAAAATTGTTACATAATGGCCAGATGTTTATCAAAATACATTTTAGTTTTATAATAATACATATATTTTTCGACCCATGTAAGCTGTATTATTTATTTATTAATCTTTTATTTATAGGAATTATTGGATATATTTGGATTCGTTTAATACATATAGTCTGGCGTGTATAACTTATCAACAGTTTTAAATTTCGGCGCCTAAAAATATGGTGGTGTTGCCAAATCTCTACTGTCAAGGCAGCTTACATTTGATTAGTATATTTAAAATTTCATTATACACATTTTTACAGTTAACATTATCTTTTTAATAATTGCTCATTATATTACATTGTTTAACTCTGAATTAAAATTGGTTCGATAGAAATGGAAGTTTGGCGTATTATGAAATCTAAATGCAAGGTATAAAATAACTTAGAATGATGATGTATTTGACTCCAATTAATTTACGGAATATTTAGTCGTAATTGAGAAAAGCCTATATATCGTTGTATAAATATTCAAAATAAAGTCCAGAAAAATTATAAAGTATATATACCCTACTGCTATATAATTATTATTTAAGATAATATTCAAATCATAAAAACAATAATTTTTGCGAGTTATTAAATATTAATCGTTTCTTGTCCAAAATTATACAGGTTTTCTACCAATTTGCCACGTAGTGCGGATTGCAGAAATAAAACCTCAAATCATTGATACTTTCGTAATTCATGAAGAAGTAAAAAGAACTCAACAACCAAACGTATGGCAATCGTACGAATTAATACTATATAAATTATTGCGTAAAAAAGTACCGCAATAATACGCAGTTCTTCAGCATCGCGCAACAAAAACAACAGAGAGCACGCGCACCCACACTTAACTCATTTTGAAGGAAATCCGGCAACAATGCTTCTTACTGGCCAATCATTTTTCGTAATCCAATAGCATCATCAGCTGATCGCCTAATATGTTACGCTATTGGTTATGAACGTTCGCTCGCTGCCTTATTTTTTGGGTCACCACTACGAAGAAACGATATACATTGATAAGGACAGTGGCGTCCGTGGTATTGGTTGTGAGGCGTGTACTGGTGTGCACAACTCGCTCTTCGTTGTCGGTCTTCTCCAAGAAGGTTTCGAACGATGGCGTAGTCCCTAATGAGACGCTGCTTTTACGGCTTTGCCGCAGTTATGATACGCTGCTGGATTATTTACGCTAATACATGCGAGTAAGCAGAGTTTAAGAGAAGATGGTGCGTGCTTTGTTTTTATTTCGAAAGTCTTTCATAGTTATTGTTGGCGAGCTAGACGTGTGTGTGTATTTTTTTTGTTACTGACCGATAACGAGATTCACACAAGGTTCTTGCTCAATTTGATTGATCACTTACCTTGTGCTTTGTTTTTATTAATTCGTTTGAATTGAGCAGAATATTCGCTATGTTCTACGTTCAGAACGATTCACGTGTTTCTTTGCATTGTCAACTCTAAAGTGAAATGTTTACATTCGCTTTTATAACATAGTACGACTAAGTTAATTTATCTTTGACTGTTTTATTTTCAGATCTGACGGTAGAAACGAGGCAACTGATTTAATCATAATTAGGCAAGTAAATTAAATAGCAAAATTTGCTTGAGGAAGATGATCAATGTGCAATGGATGCAAAATGTTACTGCTAGGTGATAAAATATCATTATTGCGTTGGTTTGAAGGCTCATGAGGCTGAGCTCAAGTGATAGTTTAGTTTAGGTATTAATGATACACAGCTTGGCTCTATAATATGATGGGAATATTGTATGAGAAGAGGCCCTTAAAAAGGCCTAGACTAGGGCCACCCGATGTTTATCCACAAGAGCCTAAGCAAAAAGAGGACGAACTGACTCCTAACAATGTGAAGCATGGATTCACAACCTCGTTACAGTTGTCAGATGAGCATGGCACTGCTAGAAATTGCAATGTCACTGCTGCTAAGGTCGGAGCTTATTTCAATGCCATCTTGGCTAAGAAGGAAGAGCTAGCAACCATGCCTGATACAAACAGAAAGAAGCAGCAGATAAATACAAAGGATAATTTTTGGCCAGTGACTGCGAGAACTAAAAATGGTATTGAAGCTTGGTTCAAAGATTTATCAGGATGCAAACCACTAGTATCGTTAGCCAAGAAAGCCCCAAATTTCAATAAGAAGGATGAGATATTTATAATGTTGTGTGAATACCAAGTACCCATGCTCAGGGCTGCTTGGTTTATCAAATTGAGCTCTGCTTACACAGTTGCTGTGTCTGAAGCTAAAATTAAAAAGAGGCAGTTACCAGATCCAACTACAGGTAAGAGTAAATCGTATCTTACAGTTTTCAAGAATATCTCTTTTTGCTATTTTCATTTTTAATAACGGGCATTTGATTACTTGCAGAGTGGACAGGAACTTTGATAAAGTTTCTGAAAGATCAGTTATCTAAGCTTCATGAGTATTATCATTTGAGTTCTTCTTCTACCAACAACTTGAATTCCAGTAATCACAGTGGTTCAACACCCAATGGTACAGCCTCGTTTTCTTCTAACAGTGGTACTACTGCAAATGGCACCAGTGGTCAATCTATTACAGCAAATGGCATCTCTAATACTCAACCCTCAACTCCTAACTGTAATACTACTTCTAATGCTCATAGCTCACCAATGCCTATGAATGAGGATCATAAGTTGGCGCTGAAACAGTGGAATTATTGTACACAATTAGGTATGGTTTTGTTATCTGCATTGGTTTATTTTAATTTTCATTAAAAATTGAAGCTTTATAACGAATTACCTATTTTAGCTAAATACATGTTTGAAGAGGGTTTGCTAGATAGACAAGAATTGTTACAATGGATTCTGGATCTCCTAGATAAAATGAAATCCGCCCCAGCCGATGACGGAATCCTGAAACTCTTGCTACCATTAGCATTGCAATATTTAGAAGAATTCGTACAGTCAGAGTTATTAGCCAGGAGGCTAGCTTATCTGTGTTGTAAGAAAATTTCACACATGTGCAACAATGTGGATACGACATGCAATCCTCAGAGTCCGTCCGTGGTGGCAGCGGCAATGGCTGCTGCCGCTGCTGCTGCAGCTTCGGCTGTCTCAAAGACCGAAGTAAATGGCACGAAGGATGGACTTCCTCCACCGTCACAACCTGCGCCAGTTGTTAGTCAGCTCAATGCTGTATTCAATGATTACATGAATTGTCCGCATCATAGAGATGTTCTCTATTCTCTGTCAACGATTATTCAGGTGACTACTTATTTATTAATTTTTTTAATAATATATTTTAATACTGTCCCCATATTGGATTGTGATCAATACGTCAATTATAAATTTAATATACAGGTGATCACGTTAGAATGTCCAACAGCGTTAGTCTGGAATAACGTCGGCGAAGGCAAATCGATATCCGTTTTAAACGGATCTCCATTAGATTTGATGGTGTGTCCGCCAGCTGCTTTACCCACTCCACCAGCAAGTGCAAACGAACGCACGAGACGACGGTTGCAGCTTGCACAAGAAAACATTCGATCTCGATCTCGAGGTGCAGAAAGTAGATGGTCTTGTGATAAATGGCAACAGAGTAGTGCAGGTATTTTGGATTTTTTTAAGTAGATTTTCAAATAAACTTGCGAAAGTCTTAATCCTCTTATTTCTTATTCCTTCTTCAGGTATGACAACAACGAAAGTCTTAGCAGCCTTGGACTCTCTCGACCGACACAGTTTTGATCGAATGGACTCAAATAATTCACTAGACACATTGTACGCGAAAATTTTCACAAATTCAAGCACAGATTCTAGCACAAATTCTCTTACGCCATCCTCGTCTTCCTCGTCAACTCCAGCAACCGAGCGCGAAGGTAGTAATGCCAAAAGCGAATACAATCCACAGCAAGATGCTGCTATAGTTGAAATACTCTGCGAGTGGGCAGTGAGCGCTGAACGTTGGGGTGCACATCGCGGTATGGCTGTGGCCAAATTATTAGAGAAAAGACAGAGCGAAGTTTTAGGAGAGAATAATGACAACGACGACAAGGACAGTGTGTGTAGTAATGGCAATAGTCCACCAGTACTACCTATCTTTCAACCGCTACTCATGAAATTCCTTGATGTCGATGCTCCGATCTTAGACAATAGCCATCAGCAATCCAAAGTGCAATTTACCAATCTCGTGCATCTGTTTAGCGAGCTCATCAGGCATGATGTGTTTTCTCACGATGCGTACATGTGCACTCTGATATCGCGAGGTGATCTTATTCAAGGTCCAGCAGCGAGTAAAGCCAGTACACCTAGTAACAGGGATCCTATGGACGAGGATAGCTTGTTCACTGGTATGGATATCAAACCAACAAGGACAATGGATCATCCGGATCATATGCGTACGGCCAATGATTACGATGATTCAAAAATCGATGACGATCTCGACAAGATCTTACAGGATATCAAAGATGTACAGCAGAATAGCTTGGATGCGCCCGATAGCCCAAAGGACAACGATGCTCATGATTTAGAAACGTCGAAACCTTCCTCGAGTCCTAGTCGGCATTTGTTATACACTACTCACTTTCCACTACCTCAGGATGAAACGTGTAGCCAACACGACTGTAATCAGAGACATGTTCTTTTATACGGTGTTGGAAAAGTTAGAGATGATGCTAGACATGTTGTTAAAAAGATGACGAAAGATGTAAATTTTATTCCACTATTCTAATTTTATTTATTATCTAAAAAGATTTGGTTTTTATTATAAAAAATTTGTGATTATTGAATTTTATTTTTTGAATGTAGGTTTGCAAACTCTTCGGTAAAAAATTCAGCATAGACGTAGCCGAAGGTGGAAAAGTGAAAAAACATTCTCGCAGCGAGTTCAATTTCGAAGCCATCACGCAAAAATTTCAGAATCTCAGTTACTTCGATCAGCACGTAGTTACATGGCAGTGTGCAACCCAAGTCGTTGATATGCTTAATACGTTTGTTGCTGGTTCGTCGTACCTTCCTGTACAAGAACACGTTGCCTTTCTCTTCGATCTTATGGAGCTTGCACTTAATATCTACGGACTCATCGAAATCTGTATACAGATATTGAAAGAATTGCCCGATGTTGAAGCACAATTGGACGTACGAAAGAGCAATCTGGTAAGAAGCTACACAACGAATCTCGGGTTGTATATTGTCGGCGTTCTGAGAAGATATCATTGTTGTTTATTGCGTAAGTTGAATCAGTAAGCTTCGCTAATTTTTAAGTTTTAAGAATATCAGTTTACCAACACTTTGAATATTTCGCTAGTGTCTCCGGAACAAACAACAGCTGTGTTTAGTCTGCTTTGCAAAATCGTTGGGCATGTCTCTAATCCCAGTGACTGTACTTCAGCTGAACGTTGCATTCTCGCTCATCTTTATAACTTATACTCAAACTGTTCTATATTAAAGACTAAACCCCAAGGTTCCGAAAATTTTAACAATGCTCATCCAAAGATAAGAGCAGCTTATTACTCGCAGCTAACTCTGACGCCAACGGAACACTCGTATAATACACAATTCATGCTGGACGTTTTGACCAGTCCGAGGCGCAATGGTAAAATTGAACCGCAATGGGCTCGGCAAATCAACGAGTCATCTTCTAATCGTTATAGGTATAGATTTTCAAACAATAAATATACAGTTGTTAGAAAGAGTATCTGATTTTGTCTGTTTTTCAGTTTTGTCTGCAATGCAATTGCTACTGTGTGTAGCGAGACAGACAATGATAGACTCAATGATATTGCGATATTATGCGCTGAATTGACTGCTTCCTGCAATGCACTTAATACCGAGTGGTTAGGCGTACTTAGTGCTCTATGTTGTTTTTCGACCAATAGTACAAATTATAACGATGTACAGCTTCACGTTGACGTTACGGACTTGAGCATACACAATTCATTGGCTGTATTCACGTCCATTCTTATTGGTAAGTTAATCATTACTCTCAAAAAGTACAACAATTTAGTTTTCATTGCTGTATTAATTTTAGTTTGATAAATATCAAATGATGTTTTAGCTCGACACTGCTTTTCCCTGGAGGACTTCGTACGCCACATAGCAATTCCATCCTTAGTAGCAGCTTGCAACGAAGGTCGCGGTGATGCTGAAACAGACGCTGAAGCGGGTGCCCGGCTCACATGTCACCTATTGTTACGTTTATTTAAGACGGTTGAATGCCCGCAGCCGGCACTCTACTCGGTCGGCACTTCACCGCATCCACTGCCCAATGGCAATCAACGTAGCTACAGCATCAAGCTTAGCTGCGATCGACATCTTTTAGCCGCGGCGCACAACAATATTAGTGTGGGGCCACTAATAGCAGTACTCAAAGCGATTTTAGTTGTTGGTGATGCTACGGCTGGAAAGCAACCACCTAAAAAACCCGACGCGCAAATTCACGCCAAGGGTGGACCTGGTAGCGTTGGTGCTGGTGGCTCCGGAGAATTGTCAATTAGTCATATTTTAGGTGAGTAACTTATTCATTTTCTACAGCTGAGTGTTACGCTTTTAAGATGAAATACATGTTGGGCATTACGATTTCAGGAACAAGTGACATTCTCAGTGGTACTGACGATCTGGGCCTAGACCTGGGTATGTCTTCATCGAGTAGTAGCGTTGTAATGACAACGGAGAACATGAAGGGGTTGTCAGACTTCGCTCAGCATGTCCTTAGGCAAATTTGTAGCCAAGAATGGGTACTAGAACGTTGTTTACAAAATCCCGAAGAGCTTTGTCAAGAGGATGGTCTCCTCGATAATATGCTCACCCCTAGACAAGCGCAAAGACTACTTCACATGATCTGTTATCCCGACACGCCACCAGATGCCTTTCTAGACCAGAAGACTCATATTACGAATATTTTGGAGAATCTCGAGCTTTGGGGTTTACGCATGTCTTGGTTAGATTTGCAACTGATGTACAAGCAATTCCCTCCAAACTCGAGTGATCTCTCGCAGTGGTTAGACACCGTCGCCAAAGCAGCTATCGACGTTTTTCAGCTAAATAACACTTCTGGCAAACCGGACAAACGTTCAGACTCGATATGGTTGGTGGCACCACTCGTCTCAAAACTACCAAGTGCAGTACAAGGAAGAGTGTTGAAAGTCGCCGGTCAAGTTCTAGAATCGGGCAATTGGTCAAAGGCCGGTGGTAAAGAAAGAAGATCCAAATCGCCGTCTATGTTCAATCATCAGCCATTTCTCACGCTCGTTCTCACTTGTCTTAAGGGACAGGACGATCAGAGGGAAGGTTTACTCACGTCGTTACACTCGCAACTATCACAATTTTGTACGACTAGCAAAGACGAGAAGAGTCTCACGAACGAAGATCCAAAAGCTCGCGAAATTCTTCAAGACGCTCTACTGTTGCGATTCAGTCTCATTGGTGGTGTCTTCGATACGATACAACGAAATATAGCTGTGACCAATGACTGGGCTATGTTACTCGTGCAACTCGTCAGCTACGGCGTAATTGATCTGAATAATAATGCAGAATTGTTCACTACGGTGATTGATATGCTAGCCACCCTTATACATTCCACTCTGGTATCTGATTCGCAGAGCGAGAAAGACGAAAACAAAAAATACTATCAGAACCTTATGAAGAAACTTAAGAAGGAACTGGGTGAAAAAACAAACCAGAGTATTCAGTTTGTTAGACAATTGTTGCCTCTGCCGAAACAGACTATGGAAGTTATCGCATGTGAACAGGTCGGTTGTATTACGGATACCAAAGGCAACAAAATTGCCGGTTTCAACAGTATTGATAAGAAGCAGGTTCGTAATGTCCACAATTTATCTTTCTTACTGCAAAACAATATACGTATTTTTGAACGTATCATCCTATCTTCTAGGGATTACAAGTGCACAATTCTCAGAGAGTTTCATCTTGGGAATTATTAGAAGGCCATAAGAATCCAGGGCCATTGTCGTGGGCCTGGTTTCGAGCGGTAAAAGTGGAACGCAAACCATTAACGTATCAAACAGCACACAAATTGTTACGTTATCATACGCACAGCCAAGTCAGACCGGCAACGTATTATCTCGATCCTCCACCTTTACCTCCTGAAGACCTCGAACCTGATAAAAAAGAATTGGAACCTGGCAAAGCTGATACACCAATGAGTATAGATTCGCCTGGTCGAATGATGGCTTTAGGTAAAGGAAAAGCTCTCAAACCTAGGAAGCACAGAACTCGCAAGGTTGCTACACCAACGAATCCAATGCAGCCAACACCTATACCGGTCAGCTATTTTTTATAATGACCGTTTTCTCTTCATTTTTTTAATAATATCTTTGTGACTTTATAAAAACTTATGAATTGTTTTTTTTTATAGCAACAAGGGCCAAATCCAATGCAGCAAATGCCTTACGGCGCTCAACAAGCTCAGATGCAACAGCAGCAACCGGGTATGTTCCCGAATCAACCACCACAGCCGCAGCAGCAGCAGCAACCGCAGATACCTCAGCAACAGCAACAATGGTACCCGAATCAACAGGCACCTCATCCTTCAACTCAGCAATATGCACCTTACGGCCAACAAATGACACCAAATCAAGTGGGAGGACCTCGTTACGATCGACCGATACCTCCACTCAATCAGTCACAGTCGAAACAAGCTCTCACTAATATGCTACGATTGCGACTACCCTCCAATCAGTTCATGGGCCAGCAGCAACCTCCACAACAAGCTGCGCCGCCGAATGTAAACAATCCTGCGGCATTTGCTGCTGGCATGCAACAGCGCAATCAATTTATCAGGCAGCAGCTCCGGGCGCATGGACAGCAGCATGCACCACCCGGTATGCAACCGCAACAGCAAATGTTCCCGGCTCAACAACAACCGCAGCAGCCGCCTCAGACTATGTACAGCAATATGCAGCAAGGTGAGTGATTTTATTATAAGCCAGAATTTTCATCGTGACGTGAAATTTTCATCTTTACTTATTGACTAAACTCTTTATTTACTGCAGGAATGAATCAAAATTACACAGGGTACGGTGGTCAGCAGATGATACCTCAGCAGCAGCAACAACAGCCAAATATGATGGCACAGCAACAGAACGTGTTTCCAAATCAGCAGCAAATGATGGGTGCTCAAAATCAGCAACACATGATGAATGCGCAGAATCAACAGCAAATGATGAATGTACAAAGGAGTCAGGAGTACATGCAACAGCAACAACAGAGAATGCAGCCTGCAGCTGCCACGAGACCCTCTTACATGCAGGTAAATTATTACGGAGAAAACGATCAATTTTCCACTGCAATCAAATAGTAATTTTTAGAACATAATTTTGGAAATAATAAAATTTTGCTTACATACAAATTTCTTGACGTTTTTTATAGGCGCCAAATGTAACGATGAACACTATGGGTCCAATGGGTGCTGGGATGCAGAATCAACCAGCACCTCCTTATCGACAACCTGCTGGAAAACCTGGCACAGTTAATGTCGGCGGTGTAGGACAAGCTAATGTTGGTCTTCAACCAAATCAACATATGCAACCGGTAAATTTCTTATTAAATCATTTAAAAGGCCCAAAATTATTGTAAAAAATGATGTATTTATTGAAAATAAACTTTAGCTCGGAGTATCAATTGATATATTGTAAATATCGAAACATGTCAATTAATTTTACAGCAAATGACAGTGAATCAGCAACAGCGTATGAGACAGCTATTAGCTATGCAACAGCAACAGCAACAACAGCAACAACAACAACAACAGCAACAACAACAACAAGTCCAGCAACAGGCTGGTAATGCAGGTCAACAAACGCCTCAATTAGTAGCGCACCTTCAAAGAAATCTCAATCAAACCCCACAGCATCCTTACCAGCATCAACCGCCGCCTTACTAAGTGTACTTCAAAATAGTGTGTGTGGCTCTGTGTGTTTTTCAGCACCACTGATGGGACACGTTCAAGTGTTTTAAAGGACAAAACTAAGAAATTATTGTGAATGTAAATTTAATGTTGATAAGTATTTTAAGAGATTTTTTAATTGTCGCGTAGCTGTGTATAATTTATTATACAACTGATAGTGTTTAGTAGAAAAGATAAAAGAAAGAAAAAAGGAATTATGCAAATTTATCTAACTGATCTATTCAAGGAGTTAGAGAAAAAGAGAAGTTTTGAGTTTTATTTTGCACAATCGAGTTTTTGTGTACTTGGTGTGAAGACCGTCGACTGTAAATGTTTTATTCCTAATCAATCTTTTTTTAAAGATGTACATTGTCTTTTAAAAGAAATTTTTTTTTTTTTTTGTTTTTTTTTTTTTTTTCAAGAATTTATTTGTGTGGTATGGTATATCTGTACATGATTATTATGTTAACAGAGAGGACATCGCATGGAATTGTAATTTTATGGAATGATTGTCGGTAGGCGTAGATTATGTTATAATAAATAACTTACGAAATTTTAAGTTCTTTAGATTTAATTAGTTAATTTAGTGAAAAAGGTAGAATAATAAATGATTAACAAAACTTTATGTAGTAACAAGACTCTACGCTCACTATTGTATTGGTTGTGCCAAAATTTTTGTCTTGCACAAAATTCTTTAAAAAGTATGTTTAAAAATAATGATGAATGATGAACAATCAATATGATTGATAGTAAATACTATAACAGTTTTGCTTAGCACATCATAATCATTCTATCGCAAATGCCTGCATAATACCGCCACAAAGACTCATGAACTGTACATATTCACTTCCACCTTCGAGTAATCTATAGCTGCATTCCTAGATTCAATTTCAAAATGTTGATAACTTTTAATTATTAGATATTAAATGAATTACATTACTTTCGATTATAATCATTTTTCTTACCCCAAGTTTTTCTCCAATAAAAGCTTTCTGCTTGTCTGAAAGCATGAGTGAGTAAATAACCATATCGTTCAGTTGATCAACAACCTGGAAAGAAATATAAAAATTGCATTATAATATATAAAATTGAAAAATTTTGATAAGAAAATTACAAGTTAAAAAAAAATTTATTACCTGACTGACCGAATAACCTTCAAGCATAAATTTATCAATGTAAGCTTCAACTTCATTATAATTTTTAGTTTCGCAAACTTTAAGTAAATCATCTAACCATTTAATTGGAACCACCTTAAAAAGATGAACATTGATACATATAATAAATTATTTCAAAATTCATGTAATTGTTATTGTTATTTTTATCATTATAACAATAACAATTTCAGAAATACATAATAAAAACATTCACATACACCAGTGACTTCTACAACATCATCAGCTGTGACCTCAATTCCTTTTCCTTTTAATCTTGTAACAGACTGTAAGCAAGTGATTGCCCTTCGCAAATCACCTCCTGATGCATCAACTACTGTTTTAAGTACACTTTTTTCAGCTTTCAAATCTTCTTGATTACATATGTACTGTAATCTTTCAATAATTTTCTCTTCTCCAAGTGGTTTAAATCTGAACTTTGTACATCGAGATGTGAGAGGTTCAATAATTCTTGAAACATAATTACAAATTAGACAAAACCGAGTGCTGTGCGATTCTTTTTCCATCGTTCTTCTCAAAGCTGATTGGGCTGCACTTGTCATACTGTCCGCTTCATCAAGAATAACAATTTTGAATGGTGGGCATGGCTTTCCACTATAACATGTATAATAAATTTGATTCATTTTTAACTCTCTATCAAGTAATTTTTTGTAAAATTTAAAAATTAAAATAGTTCAATCATTTTGCCTCAGTTCAATCGAAAATCATAGATGTACATGGATCATACCAAATTTTGAAAATAGTTTGATTACTGGAAAGTAGATTATTTTGGATGATAAGTCTTAAAAAAAGCTTAACTAAAAATGTCTATTTAATAAACAAATGCAAATAAAAATAAATCTAACTTAAATACAATAACACTAACTTTCACACAAAATGATTTACTTTCAAAATGTCTGCTCATGTAAGGTGTCAGGAGATTTTGCTTTACCTCAATGACTTTAATTACATAGCACAATACTGTTTAGCTGCGAAATAAAAATTTTACAATCTTCAATAAAACTTCTGATACTACAACTATTTAAAAACCATTTACAAATAACAATATGTCCTATTGTACACATCAGACCTTTTACTGTAGCATCATTGGCAATGAGATTATCAATGATTTAAGTAATATATTAACAGAAATGAAACTTACTCTACTTTGGTACTGCCAACTGCAATTTGAGAAAAAGCTTTAACTTTCTCTCTGACGACTTGAATACCTCTTTCATCAGAGGCATTAAGTTCCAATATTCTGTCTCTAAAGGAACTACCAAATAACTGCCGCGCTGCTGCTAAAATTGTACTTGTTTTACCAGTACCTGGTGGACCATATAACAATAAATTTGGGAAATCTTCTCCAGCTAAACATTGCCGTAGGACTTGAACGATTTCATCTTGTTCCACAACATCATCAACAGTTTTTGGTCGGCTGAGGGATTTATGATTAATTAACAAAAAAATAATCCAAATCTAATAAATATCAGGTACTTTATTGATGACATTTAATCTAAAAGATAATAATAAAATTGAACAACTCACTATTTTTCTACCCAAGGTGTAGGCCTGTTGCGTGGTGTAATATTTTCTTTGGTTTTTGACGTTGATTTCTTTGTTGGTTCTTGAGGGCCAAGTTTGCCAGTTTTTAAAAAAGACTGCATTTCAGAAATAAATAAATTTACAATATAAGAATAAAAAGAAACACCATAGTTCTCGCACAACAGGCAACAGCACAACCAGATCAGAGCACAAAACAGATATATCCTGATATAACACTAATACCGTTCCTGAATCCCGCCAATTTTTACCGACAGTAAGAATATTTGTTGTTGCCAACCTGAGGAATTTAAGCCTCACGCAACGTTTGTAACATAAGCAGACAAAATCTTTCTCATCTCATAATTGATAGTTGATGAAAACGAATTCGTATTATCGTTGAATTTATTAGTGACAAGTTTTAGAAGTAAAATAATATTTTGTTTAGTTTTTATCAATTGATTCAGTTTAACTATGGTAAGTGATCAAAATCAATATAATCTTAATAAATACTATTCAAAATGTAATTTCAGAGACTTATATACCCGGTAACCTATAAATAAACATCAAATATAAACATTACAAATTCGGCATTTGCTTTAAATCTAAGCAATAATTAATTTCAGTTGTTCTACTCATTCTTCAAATCCCTGGTTGGAAAAGACGTCGTAGTTGAACTGAAAAACGATCTTAGGTAATATTATTGCATTCTAAACAATTATTTCTTAAAAATTCACTGTAGAAAATATATTTAACTTATTTACTTTCTATTGATGAATAAACGCTAAGTACACAGTTTCATAACAAAGAATTTGTTCTTGATTTATTTTATAGTATTTGTGGTACATTACACTCAGTGGACCAATACTTGAATATTAAGCTAACAGACATCAGTGTTACAGATCCTGATAAATATCCTCATATGGTATGTTTGTGAAATAATTTATGAGTATTACTCATTTGTATTGAGATTATAAAAATCTATAAATAATTTTTTCAGCTGTCAGTTAAAAATTGTTTTATTAGAGGATCAGTAGTGAGATATGTACAATTACCAGGTGATGAGGTTGACACACAACTGTTGCAGGATGCTGCGAGAAAAGAGGCAGCTGCTCAAACTCGATAATAATTTATAATAATAAACTATTACTCTAATTGAATTATTTTAATATAAACAACAAAAATAGAAATAAAAGATCTCTTCTATTACTACTTAAGATATAACAAATGTAAATAGACATTTAATAAAATGTTTTCTTATTAAAAAGATATTTTTATGAGCTTTAAAATATTTTGAAACCTATTTCATTCTACTGTAAATTTTGTTATTTGCATGTATTTATTAAAATTCTTGGGTTTAAAGCTAATATGAATAATATATGTACATATTTTAAATTATTATTAATATTGTAATATTAATTATTATTATTATTACTATTATTATTATTATTATTATTATTATCTTACACATTTTTAACGATGTGTGTACCTATAATGTTTACATAGTTTTAGGTTTTAGTTTTGCTCTTGGTTGCTTAGGTTTTAGTTTTACATTTTTGCATTTGAAAAAGTAATGAAATAAAGGAATAAGAGATAAGGGAGTTGCTAAAGGACAAAGTAGGGTATAAAGTGAAGAAAGTTACACTAATAAAAATGGGAAAATACAAATTGCAATTCAAAGGTGGAAAAGCATAAGACAATCTATGGCTATACCTCTGGAGTCGGAATACAAAATAGAATATAGAGAAGAATCAAAAGCTGGAGATACTAAGGGAGTGTCTACACGGGATCCGTCCTCGGATCCGTGGACGGATCCGTCCCCGTCCAAATTTTTATAGGCACACGCCATCTTCATAACTTCAAGTTCAGTGGTGAGTTTCAAATTTGATGTGAGAAACGCATCTATACAGTTCTTATATCCGTGATTTACAGCTCCAATTTTATTTATACGTTACACCATGGAGACAGTCTCCATGCGTTACACGTTGAATAAAATTGGAGCTGTAAATCACGGATATAAGAACTGTATAGATGCGTTTCTCACATCAAATTTGAAACTCACCACTGAACTTGAAGTTATGAAGATGGCGTGTGCCTATAAAAATTTGGACGGGGACGGATCCGTCCACGGATCCGAGGACGGATCCCGTGTAGACACTCCCTACGGGGATGCTATAAGTACTAGACTTCAAGAGGTTAAAGAAAGCTAGTAAACTAAGAAATTCAAAAAATCATTGAACTTTGAAAAACAAATTGAACTATCACATGAAGTGGGACAAACGCGTAGAATGTATAATGAATAATCAACGGAACTATATAAGTATCTATAATTTTCATTCTATAATTGCTGTATTTACAGTGCCGCTCAGCCACTTTTACCCCCCCCCCCCTCCCCACGGGCAAAATCAGTCTAACTTCAAAGTTTTATATCTCTGGTAGAAATTAACGTACAGAGACGCGCGTGGGTGCGTTTGAAAGGTCTTTCGGAGAGCTTTCAAATGATATGACTCACGGTTGCCATGGATTGTTTTTTAAAATTTTGCAACAATTATGCAAAATTGAAAATTCTGAAATTTTTTTATTATTTTTGACAATTAGCCAATTTTGGAAAAAAAATCGTACGAAAATTTGAATTACACCATTTTTTAGCTATTACCAAGCCCTATCTGAATCACTCATCAAAAATTTATTTTCGTCAAATATGACGCGCGCACGGGCATTTTTTCCTGGAAGTGACAGTTTTTTTCAACATTTTTTATCTCCGTCAAATTGTAACAATCGAAAAAATTTTATAGGAGAAAAAATGTTTGTTTTTTCACGTAGAATACTGCAATAATTTTTTTTTCGGTTTTTCGAAAAATTTTTTTTTTTCGGTTTTTTTCAATTTTTTTTTCTCACAGTCGGTACGCTAAAAAGATGAGAAACCACAAAAAAAAATTTTTTTCCACCCATTCAATAATACTACATAACAAGTATCGTAAATTACATAAAAAAAAATCTTTTTTTTTTCGACCTTGATACGGACAGATACGGACGCGAATCGCAACTCTAGTAACATCACTAAAAATATCTACTTCGATTATTTAGTACCAACACTACTGGTAGTGAGCAAAAGTGACCGTTGTTTAAAACTGTAGCGCCGAACATACCACATTTAATATTCAAATGTAAGTTCTATAATTTACTTTTCAAATTCTCATGAATATTGCTTATTGATGAGATGCTAATGTAAAAAAAGTTTTTGGGATGATTAATACATATCATTTATAAATATTTTCTTCTTCTTCTCGTATATTAAAGTACTTCCATAAAATTAAGGCCTAATTCCACTAATTGTAGTTGAAAGTCTATCAATTCTCTATATCATTTGCCATCTTATAGACTGCAATAATGTAAAGGTTAGATAGGCGTTCATTAAATGTGGTACGTTCTACGCTACAGTTTTAAACGACAGCGACTTTTGCTCACTACCGGTAATGTTGGTACTAAATAATCAAACTTAGTACATTACGATACAAGTGCGGGAAAATAGATTCTTGTCTCGTGTGGCGTTTACGCCCGAGCGAAGCGAGAAACTCTTTACCGAACATGTGCCGTACCGTATTTTTTTATACGACGTATGGAAAGCGCGATTTTCAACGCACGTTTTTTGTCGAGCGTGCGATTTTCAACGCACTTTGAGCACGGAGTGTCGAAAAGAAGTTTATTAAATAATAATAATAATAATTTATTTTGATCATAAAATAAAAATTTTAATAATGTTTTACAACGTTGAACCAGCAATAATCCAGTGTTTGTCAGGTCTAATCAGGCTTGATCTAGTGAAGGTCCAAGCTGCGTTGTGAGGCAGACTGGCAAGTGTGGCAACGGCGTTGGTGCGTGTAGCGTGTCTATTCAAAATATAACCTCAATCTGCAATGCACACGTGCGGTCATTAAGTCATCGTACTTCATACACAACATGATAAACATGTATAATAAATTTTCTTCCCGAACATAAAAAGATGTTTGAATTTTAATGAATAATTTAATTGGTGTATAAATAAAGTTATCGAGATAAGTTTATATCAACAGATTATTTTTTATCAGGTAATGATTTAGAAGTATCTTTGTTTAACTATCTTGTTAAACAAAAATTAGAAGAATTAGCTTAATCTTTGTCAATTACTTTTTTCTAAATTGTCATTAGTTTTGTATGAATGTATTAATGTTTGAATAAATCTGAGATTTACAAATTTATTTCAGTTAATCATGTCAGCACCAGAAAGTGATGTTGTTTCACACAAACAACATAGAGAAAGAAATGCTGGTCGTAAGGCAGATAAAAAGAAGGCACAGCAACAAAGAGAAGAAGATCCTAAAAAAAGAAATCCTAAAGCCTTCACATTTAATTCTGCAATCAAAGCAGAAAGAAGATTCAGGCGTAAGCAAGATATAGAAACAAAAAAACAACATATTCCAGTTGTGGACAGAACTCCGTTAGAACCACCACCAATTTTAGTAGCTGTTGTTGGACCACCAAAAGTAGGAAAATCTCTAGTTATACAATGTCTTATAAAAAGCTTCACAAAACAACCTTTGACAAGTATCATTGGTCCTGTCACATTGGTGTCAGGCAAAAAAAGAAGAATTACATTTATAGAATGTAATAATGACATAAACAGTATGATAGATATCGCTAAGGTTGCAGATTTAGTTTTATTATTGATAGATGCCTCTTTTGGATTTGAAATGGAAATATTTGAATTTCTAAACATATGTCAAGTACATGGTATGCCACGTATTATGGGTGTTTTGACACATTTGGATATAATTAAAAATGCCAAACAAATGCGTAAGACTAAAAAGTTACTGAAACATCGTTTTTGGACTGAAGTCTACTCTGGAGCAAAGTTGTTTTATCTTTCCGGTTTACTGCATGAAGAATACCTAAGATTGGAGATTAAAAATCTAGCAAGATTTATCTCAGTGATGAAACTCAGACCTCTTATCTGGAGAACAACACATCCTTATATCTTAGTTGACAGAATTGAAGACTTGACTGATCCTGAAGCTATTCGACAGAATCCAAAAACTGATAGAACAGTTTCTGTTTATGGGTTAATATTTTTCTATATATTCATTGTTTATTAAAATATAATATTTCTAATATTTATATCTCATTTTTAGATATGTTCGTGGTATAGCATTTAACAAAGAATCATCAATACACATAGCTGGCTGTGGAGATCATAAAATCAAGAATATTAGCTTCTTGTCAGATCCATGCCCACTTCCAGAACAATTAAAGAAGAGAGCTTTAGTTGAAAGAGAACGTTTAATATATGCTCCATTCTCCGGTGTGGGTGGTATAGTTTATGACAAAGATGCAATATATGTGGAATTAGGTGGAAGTCATTCACACAAAAAAGAAGACTCCAATTTTATAGGCAATCTACTTCAAACTAAAGAAACTTTAGATCAGAAATTGGAAAAAAGTGAACTGCAATTCTTCACAGACTCTGCCCCAATTAAATCTGAAGATGTCAAACAAATATTTACTGAAGAGGCAATTATAGATCAGGGTAGAGTAAGAAGGAAAGTAATTTTTAATGACTCAAAAGATGCAAACAAGAAACTAATTGATAAAAGTGATAATGACAATAACGATACCGATGATGCCGATGATTCTGCCGATGATTCTGCCGATGATTCTGCCGATGATTCTGCCGATGATTCTGCCGATGGTGATGCCGATGGTGATGCCGATTATGACAATGACAATGACGAAGACGATGAATATGAAGACCTAGAAAACGACCAGGAAAATGACGATGACAAAGGTGAATTAAAAAATCAAAGATCAAAAAAAAGAAAAGCTGTTCAAAAATCGTCAGGTGAAAAAAAAGCAAAATTAGATCTTTCAGCTGGTACTGAAGAAAATACCGAAGTTTATCGAGAATTGAGTAAGAATCAGGACAAACATGTAAAGGATAGAATTTCAGAAGCTCTTAGTTTATTAAGTAGCAGTAGCAAGAACAAAAGACCTCCGTCATTATCTAAGCATAAAGACGACGAAGAAAGTTTTGATGAGCTAAGTGAAGACGATGATATGGATTTTGAACTGAGATTAGAAAATGTGAGTGGTGATGAGATCGACAACAACGAGGACGAAAATGATGAAAATGGAGACGAAGGTAGTGAAAATGAAAATGAAGATGAGAAAAGTAATATCAAGTGGAAGGAAAACCTTGCCCAAAGAGCAAAAGAAGCTTTCCTCGAACGACAACAAACTAAAGTAAACATTATGAAACAAGTATACGGAGTCTTTGACGAAGTGAATAAATCCTTAATAGAGACAAACAATGATGAAGATGAGGCTGAAGAAGTCGGTGGTATTTTCCGTGTAGTGCAAGCTAAAGAGAAACAAAAAATTGAAGACCGAGAACTTCAGAATCAAGAAGCATCTATTTTGATGAAAGAAGACTCTCGCGATTGGCTTGATAATAATAATAAAGCTCTAATTATGAATTTGTTCGTCACTGGCAAATGGAAAGATTCTGAGGATGCTGAAGAGCTTTTAAAACTAGGTATAGGTTTTATTCATAAAGAAAATTCGTTGTAGTTATCAAATAGAATTTTTATCGATAAAATTTATTATCTTTTTCAGATTCTTTGGAAGATGAAGTATACGGAGACTTTGAAGACTTTGAAACCGGCGAAAAGCACGAAGCAAAAGAAGCTAAAGCTGTTCCAAAAGAAATGAAATCTGAAGAGCTAGATGAGCGAAGTAAACTACTCGAAAAGAAGAAAAAATTAAAGGAACAGTTCGACGCCGAGTATGATACCAGTGATAAGACATATTACGATAACTTAAAGATGGAAGTTGAGCGTCAAGCTGAACTCAACAAAAATGAGTTTGAAGATCTCGACGATAGTACACGTGTTACTTTTGAAGGTTTCCGTCCTGGCATGTATATTCGACTAGAGATTGAAAACGTCTCGTGTGAATTGATCACGAATCACGATCCCAGTTATCCTATGATAGTCGGTGGTTTGTTACCTGGAGAGGAAAACTCTGGCTACGTGCAAACGCGTATCAAGAAACACAGATGGTACTCGAAAATATTAAAGAGTAAAGATCCGATTATTTTATCTATTGGTTGGAGAAGGTTTCAATCGATTGCTATATACTCTAAATTAGGTATGATTCTTTGTATCTCTGTAAATTCAAGATTAGTAAAGACCATAAACTAAGTTTGTTGGAGCTTTTTTAAGTTCCCTTACAGCTAATCACACAATGAAAACTTAAGTAACTATTTCTTTCTAATTATTTTTACAGAGGACAACATGAGACTTCGTATGTTGAAGTATACACCAGAACACGTCGCTTGTATGGCTCATTTCTATGGTCCAATTACACCCCAAGGCACAGGTGTTCTCGCGGTTCAGGATGTCGCTAAACGAGATCCCGGTTTTAGAATAATAGCTACAGGTTCTATCGTCGAACTCGACAAGAGTCAAAATGTTGTGAAAAAACTTAAACTCACCGGAATTCCCTACAAGATTTACAAGAAAACAGCTTTCATTAAGGACATGTTCAACTCTACCCTCGAGGTAGCTAAATTTGAAGGTGCTAAAATCAAGACTGTCTCTGGTATAAGAGGTCAAATAAAGAAACCAGTATCGAATCCCGAAGGATGTTTCCGTGCAACTTTCGAGGACAAGATCCAACTAAGTGATATCGTATTTTGCCGTACTTGGTACAAAGTTGATATTCCAAAATTCTACAATATAGTCAATTCCCTATTAATGCCGCCATCGGAGAAGAGCAACTGGACTGGTATGAAAACCACTGGACAATTGAAACGCGAGCGCAACATTAAAGCTGAGCCGAAAACTTACAAAGACAGTCTGTACGTTCCCATCGAAAGAGAACCGAAAGTCTTCAAACCACTCTTCATTCCACGAGGACTGCAAAAAGAATTACCATACAGGGACAAGCCAAAAATTCTTCCAGTAGCCGGCAAGAAAAAGAATAAATTCGAGAACCAACGTGTTGCTGTGGTCAGAGAGCCTAGGGAAGAGAACGTCGCAAGGCTCATGAAGATGATCAGGACAAATTATGCTCATAAGCAAGAAAAACTAAAGGAAGCTACTCACAAACGTATGACTGAATACGAGAGACGAGTCAAGGAAGAGGAAGAGAAAAAGCTTAGACGACAGAAGCAGATGAAGAAACAAGTGTTCAGGGAACTGAGCAAACTTGAAGCTAAGAAAAAGAGAGGAATATAAATAAGGGATGTTACATTGTTTTTGTATATAGAATAAATTCATGTTTGATAAGACGTAAACCAGCTATATAATTTATTTCAAAACGTAGATAGATGCCTTGTTGGTATACTGCGTCGTTTGATAATCGATTTACGTTTGAAATAGAATTCACGTAATCTGTGTTCTTGTAAAGTCCTTGAAAGTACGTCGATAAAAAAAAAAAGAGATAAATGTTTGAATTTCGCGCATAAAAAAACTAACCTATGCGGCAACGTCGCTGACATTACATATATGATTAGCGCGAATGATAAAATAAAACACTATATAAAATGGCGACATCAGGTCCCTTGACAAGAATAAAAAATTAATTAAACAAACCTTCGCGCTTGTTAATTATGTTATCTTACTCCTACGCATATTTGTTGCATTCACGCTTGAGCGAATGAAAACGTAACGTAACCCAACTTTTATAACACTGGAGTATTGATTTCGTATTAGTTGTAAAAATAGTAGTTTTTAATCTTTCATCGTATAAATCGTACGAGGACATAATAAACGCAACGTCAACAGTAATATTATCCAATTAATCAATTGACATATAGTGGCGGCAAGTTATAGGCATATCTATAGATGGAGAATACAAGCGAATCATTGTCGTCGCTCTTTCACCAAGTGTCAATGAATTTCACGTCGAAGAGGGGAAAGTAGTAGAGAATTTATGGAAACACGCCCCGTTTGTTTTTTCGTCGTATACCTGTCAGTTTTAACGATTTTATTTAGAAGAATTGAAAGTGCGTGTACGTTAAGAAACGTAACATGTTCCGTTATTTTCTTCGAAAATTATAGCAAGATCATAAACTGTAGTCGCGAATTGTGTAGATGATTATTTTTTTAGTAGATAGTCGCAGGTAAGAAGTAAAACGAAAGCACGTTCTTATGTTTTTCGACTTCAGAGTTCAATCACATTTAGTACTTTCGTTTAATATAGATTTACCAGTTTAAGATTACCTTCCTTGTTGTTTACCTGACAATATGACAATCTTATGATGTGTACATGCCAATTTCATGTCAATTGTAATTAATTTTATTATAAACTACATGAAAATCAAATGTAGCTTGTAAAGTCTACATTTGATTCCAATAAAGTATATTCAATCAGTACAACTCAGATCTGGCCATGACCAAATTTAATGCACTTGCTATACCATTTTCAGATAATAATTAAGCATCATGTCAACGCCTGAGCAATTGGCGATTGTCCAATCCAAATTTACCACGGGTGAAACCGTTGTCATTGTATCCTTTTGCAACCTTACTTTTCACTCGGTATTCTATCGTATCTCACAAGTAGTAATAATGAGAAAGGAAAACTATCTTGTATTTTCCTTATTTAATTTCATAGGCCATGGAAGCAAAATACATACAAGGTTGGGTAAAATCATCTCGTTTGCTTGCTTTAGTTAAAAAGGGTTCTACAAATGCTCTAGTCATTTTTATAACTTCTCGATCACCACCTCAAGTTTATAGTGATCTTACTATTGAAAGGGTATTACCCATTGATCAAGATTTTCAATGTGACATTGGTAAGAAACATTAATAAGAATTATGTAAATATTTGGGTTATATAAAAAGAAAATTATGTACTAAACTATTTTCCTTTTATTCAGATACTGATGAGCAAGATTCTGACCTAACGGATGTTTATTTGAATATAACATCTAGAAAATCTAGAACTATTTTTGCAATGAAACCTGGAATTACAACAACAAATATTGTTTCTTCAATATTTCAAGCAATAGAAGGTGAAACTTCAAGGTTATAGCTAATTATCAACAGTCAATTCAGTTTCTTATTCATTTTGATTATTTCAGTATATCAGAGGAACAAGAATCCTACTACTGATTTCTTCTGGATCCAAAAATTAACTGGAAGTATTCGTAGCTTGGACATTAATAGTGAACCAGTAGAAAGTGCTACAGAGCCAGTAAATACTTTTTTCCATATTATTTCTTTACATTTTTTTTGACAAATACAAGACTATTAAAATTTAATAATTTTTATTAGATCATTGAGCTTGATAGTCCAGATATAGTTGTGTCTCGACACAACATAGCTTCTGGTAAAACTCCAATTGCCACAAGAGAATCTGTTGTTCGATATCACATGGCATGCAAAGAAGATGATTATACATACACTAAAGTTTTAAGGTTTGCACTGCAAAAGCGACATTTAAAATGAAATCTCGATACATTTTTTACAGTATAATTAATTTTTAGGATATTTGTTGGAACATGGAATGTAAATGGACAGCCTCCAAATAAAATCTCATTAGAGCAGTGGCTTTGCAAAGATCAAGTACCTCCTGATCTGTATGCAGTTGGATTTCAAGAATTAGATTTAAGTAAAGAAGCTTTTCTTTTCAATGATACACCTCGTGAAGAAGAGTGGAGACAAGTTGTTTCTAAATACCTCCACCCTAAAGGCTCTTATGAGATAGTAGCTCTTGTAAGATTAGTTGGCATGATGCTTATAGTTTTTGCACAAACAACACATTTTCCATATATAAAAAATGTTTGTGTAGATACTGTTGGAACTGGTATAATGGGAAAAATGGTAATGTATAATTCTCGAATTTCTTGAATTCTAACTAATATCATTGCTAAACAATTGATCATTTTCTGATACTTTTATAGGGTAATAAAGGTGGTGTTGCTGTGAGTTTCTTAATTCACAACACATCAGTTTGTTTTGTTAATGCACATTTAGCAGCACACTGTGAAGAATATGAGAGAAGAAATCAAGATTATGCAGATATATGTGGAAGATTAAATTTCCAAACTTACAATCAAAAGGGACTCAAAGACCATGAGTAAGAACATTTTATTACTTTTAAATTATTATTTCAGACTTGCTCTTCAATCACAATATTTTCAGTCAAATTTATTGGTTGGGTGATTTGAATTATCGTATAACTGAAATGGATGCTCATACTGCTAAACATTACATTTCTTCTGGTAACCTTGCTCCTGTACTAGCACTGGATCAACTTGGTCAGCAAAAAAAGCTTGGAAGGATATTTGCTGCTTTTCATGAGGCAGAAATAAAATTTAAACCAACCTATAAGTATGATCCAGGAACTGATAACTGGGATTCAAGGTATACTTATTATTTATTCAAATTCCTCACTTTTAAATATACTAAATCTAACTTTACTTTAGTGACAAAGGTAGAGCACCAGCTTGGTGTGATCGGATTCTTTGGAAAGGAGAGGGCATAAGCTCAATTGATTATCGTAGTCATCCTGAATTAAAAATATCTGATCATAAACCAGTTAGCTCAATATTTGACTCTCAAGTGAGATAAATATATTTAATTATAATTTTATTAAATTAAGTAAAATTACATATTATCTCTATTTTATTTAGATAAAAGTTATTGATAATGTAAAATATCGCAAGATCCATGAAGAATTAATGAAGAGATTAGATAAGTTAGAAAATGAGTTTTTGCCTCAAGTAACAGTTGATACTACAGAAATAATTTATGAAACTTTGAAATTTGCTGAGCCTTGTGCAAAGGAACTAATTGTTGCAAATACTGGACAGGTATTATTTAGCGAAATTTACATTATTTATTTAGTTTTTTCCAAATGTAATATAATTTTACTAGGTACCAGTTGAATTTGAATTCATCAAAAAATTGGATGATACATCATATTGTAAAGATTGGTTAACAATAACTCCTCCTACCAGTTTTATCAAGCCAGGTAAATACAAAAATAATTATCTAGAAGATTTTTTTCGAACCAGCAAATAAATTACAAAACATTTAATTTTTATATTACAAGGAGAAAAATGCGATATTAAACTTGAAGTTTGCGTGGATAAAAGGTGTGCTTGGAAATTGAATTCTGGAGAAGACAAATTATATGACATTTTGGTATTGCACTTAGTTAATGGAAAGGATATATTTATTACTGTAACAGGCGAGTATTATAAGTTACTGCAAAGTTTCGATGTCACAATTTTTTAATCATACTTTACTTATGCATTAGGTAACTATGAACGCAGTTGTTTTGGTTGTTCAATGGAAGCGTTAGTTCACATTCCTGTTCCAATCAGAGAAATACCTGCTGGAAGGATAGCTGATTTGGTAAGTTTATTAATTAGTGTTCATTTCTATACTGTAGACCGGGGGGGGGGGGCTGATTTAACACTGAAAATTAAATATTACATATCAAAAACAAGTTTTTGTATGCGAGAGATCAATTTACACATTCTAGAAAATCCAAGTTTGCTTCAAATTTCGTGTCACACACTTTGTATAAAAAATTCTTTTTTTATGATTTAGAGTTTTATTAACATTTACATTACATAGCTAGTTATTTTTGATATAGTATAAATACATATCAATTTTAGTACAGTTTGCTGTAGTATTATACAGTTGTATTATAGTCTTTCTTAAACCGTTATTTTACCCTTTTTAATAAACTTATATATTATGTCCATGATTTCGCTATTGGGCTTTCATAATAAAATTTCTATATCAAAAGTAGGGTATTTTTCCATCTTAATCAGTTTCTTGATCATTTGTTTTATCTCAGCCTCAAAATTGGTACATTGCCATAGGATATGGTTGAGGTTTTGAGTCTCGTATTCGCAGTCGCAACTAGGGTCATTTGCAACATTTATCTTGTACAATAATTTATTGAGACTGTATGGTTATTTCGGCTTCTACAGGTAGTTATAATGTAATCTCTACTGTGAGTGTAACTTTCGTACCAAGACTTAGCCGATTGTGTGTGGTAATTTTGGAAGTAATAATTACCCTTGATTAGGCCTTGGTCTTCAATTATCTTTGTAGTCTCTTTAATGCTTATGGTTTTTGTCATTCGCTTAACAGCAACGGACTGAGCACACCCCCATGCGAAACTTTTTTATAACAGTGTTTAGGATTCGTTAGATTATTTTGGGAATACAGAAATCTATGGTACGAGTAAGTTAGAAATTTAATGAACATGAAAACCTTAATTGAGAAACCATTTTGAGCAATAATTGTTATCAGTACGTCGCTTTGACTGTCATTAAACGCGTTACGTTGAGAAATACTGTTGAAACATTTTCAATTGTTGATAGCGTATTCGATATTTAGTTTCAATTTAGTTAAATTATCGACGCATGACGTGCCCTTCCTGAAACTGGTTTAGCCACTCGGTATTATTTTGTTTGTTTCGACCCAAAATTTGGTTGGGTTGGGTTCCGAAGAAGAGCATCAATTCGAAAATCTTGCAAATATAAAATGTCAATGCGAGCGTAGATTCCCATTTGATTTTTCAACAAAGTGCACGTATGTGTCAGTCCAGCTGTCTCGGTAAACATCGTTGTCGTAAAGTTCGTTTCGGATGTCGAGGAGTAGGTGATACTTGATCGGCAGATTATGCAATATTTCATAATTTATACCATCTGTACTCAAAGCCGATTAGTTGCCTCTAGAACATAGGGCTGCGTCAAATTCGGAGTAAGTAAAGTGACTATATTGAAAAATTTATTATCCGTTGCAAATGGGATAGGTAGGTCGTTCCGATCAATCACTGTCCAATCTGGGCAAAAGCTGTCTAAGGCGGTTTCGATGTTATCGCGTTTAGGTAAGAAAGCATCGCGACTTGAAGAAGTTATTTTAACCCATTTGTTTTTTAATATTTTTGCAGTATTCCAAGTGTACTTTAGATTCTCTTTTAAGTTGACCGTTGCATTAAAGCATTTAAAGCGTTCTTTTTATTTATTTTTAAAAGTTCTTTTAATAAGGACTCTTAGTCTTTTATATTCAACATGGTCGGAAATGTTCTCGGTGTACTCCCACCTCTTGTAGGCAGCCTTGTCAAATGCTAATGAATCGTTTGAAACTTTAACTTTGAGCAGGTATGAGATGTTTATTGTTGAAAAAATTAGGTCAATGTTGCTTTTAGTATTGTTATTGTTGTTTATTTTAGTTCGAGTGACGGTGTCGTTATTATGTAAATATATATCAAATTCCTCAATTTGTTCTAATAGTCTTTTTCCGTATTTATCAGTTTCGGAGCAGTTCCACGCCTGATTATGCGCGTTAATGTCCCCAATCAAAATAGATTTATCTTTTATTTTGAAGTTGCCTATTATCGTACTTCATTTCATATCATTTAAGATGGTATCAGGGGGCTTATAGCAGGCTATGATAGAAATACATTCTTTGAGGTTCATTATTTCGATTCTGCATATTTTAGTGTCATTATTTACATTTTGTAAATTTTTAATCTCAGCTTAATTGTAGGTTTTGCGGATAAAAGATACAATGCCACTGCCCTTCTTATGCAATCTATCTAAACGCAGCGTGTTAAAATCAAGAAAATTAAAGTTAATGTAATCTTTGAACCATGACTCAACGCAAACGAGAATATCCACATTTTGTATAATTTTGGAGATATCCTCGATCTTATTACAAACGCTTCGCGGATTCCAATACAGAATTCTTATTTTAGTACGGTATGTACGATTACTCTCAGGCGGTTGCATGTTTTAATTTTTTTTTTTTCGACACTCCGTGCACAAAGTGCGCCTTTCCCGCACGCTCGGCAGAAAACGTGCGTTGAAAATCGCACTTTCCACACGTCGTATGAAAAAATACGGTCCGGTACATGTTCGGGAAAGAGTTTCTCGTCTCGTGTATGTACCTTTCCACCCTCGCTTCGCTCGGGCGTAAACGCCACGCGAGACAAGAATCTACTTTTCCGCATTTGTATCGTAATGTACTAATTTTCTGTTTTTCCTTTTTTTTGTGTACTTTACCGTTCAGTTTGTTATCGACAACTCACTGTCGTCGTCTTCTTGATTATCTACTAAACGATGTCTTCGAGTTCAGTGTCTTCATCGTCGTTCAAGTCCTTGTTTAGTAACTGCTTCGAGATGCGAATAATTCGTGCCTTAATCATGCTGCATCAGACATTTTTGTGTACTTCGTTTAGCATAACAACAAGTGCGTCAGTATTGCTGACAGAGTAATTTTTACTAGTCCGTGTATTCCATTATATTTCAGGCTATACGTCTCAGCCATAAACTTCTTTAGATAGTCAGCAGTCATTGGAAAATGGTTGACTAAATCAGGCGAAGCTTTTTCGACATCATCTATTATCGCTTTATCCAGTATCGAAAAATAAAATTACATATGTACAAGAAAGTCATTTTACTCTTGCCTCGCCCAGGCGCAAACGTCCATAAGGGGATTAAATCATTTTCTCTACACTAGTTGTAATCATTAAATTTTTCAGTCTGAAAGGATTGTTCGTGAATATGTGTAGTTTATGAAAGGATATGAAATAATGAATGCGTAGTTTAGGCCAATATGATAGATATATTATAGGCCTAACAAATTGGGAAAAAACTCCACAAGGTTCGGTTAGGTTTGATCTTGCGTGCAAACTATGTTTGCACGTAAGCGCAAACGGAAACCGCCTGAATGGAGAAAAACCCTTGGTTGATTTACATTGATAAAATACAAACTGATATTGTGATAACATGCGATCATGCGTTCAATCGTTGTGTAAAGAAATAAAAACGTGTTATGATTAATTGATTACAATTGATACTTAAAGGTATGCATATATATGTCGGATGTAAAAGAAATTGAAATTGGTTAATTTGTGGCTAACCGACCAAATGATATGTGAAATGAAACACGCGGCGTTGTGATGTCGATTGACTACTTTGTGGCTAGTCGACCAATATAATGTACGTAATGAATTGATAGTTTTTTAGTCACTGTGGACTTGATTAACTATTTTGTGGCTAGTCAACCAATGATACGTATAAGTGTTTGTGTAAATTGTGTTCGTGTTACCTGAGTTCGTGGAGGGTTTGTCTCGCGGCGATTGCTAAAATAGCACGACTCAAACAAAGAGAACTGATTGGAAGAGTTCTTTAGAAACTAGAATAAATACGCGTCTATTAAATACTATTTTAATTTAAACTAATTAAGCTTAACTATACTACATTGACAAATTAAATAAGTTAAAGAAATTCTGTTTAACGAATGTAGAATTCAAAACGTGCGATTAGTTCGGACGAAAGATTTATACTGCCTGACCTCCACAACTAACTGATAACGCGCTGTCACCCGAAACGCATACTCTCCCCTACTCTCTTTAAGTAAGAAAGAAAGAAAAGTCATATAGTTAGATCGTAGTTAGGCATGCTGAGTAAGTATATCGATAAAGGGAGGAGAAAAGAGAGAGAAAGAAATAGTACGTGGCCACTAGGAGAGAGAAAGCGCGACTATATTACAATCTTATACTTCCCCTTTATTATATATAGGAAATACTTTCGTCTTTCAACGAAACTCTAGTATCGAAACATACTATTTCGATACTCCGTGCGCAAAGTGCGTTTTTCCCGCACGCTCGATACAAAACGTGCGTTGAAATAGTACATTACAAGTGCGGGAAAGTAGATTCTTGTATCGTAATGTACTAATTTATTACGGTGTAGAATTATTTCAAATAAAAATACCATTATGAAACTTTAATGTAACAACAGATTTCAATTGCTACTAATTTCAACATCTCAATCATGTGTATCACAAAATCACTACAAAATAAAAAAGCTCTTCCAATTTTTATTTTTAAATTAAACTAACCATTTTCCTAGTAAACTAATTTTTTATATTTAAAAATTTTAATACTGAAAAATAAGCTACTTCAAACAGTTAAATATTTTTGGTATTAATGATTAGTGATTGTTTATAAATGTTTTAAATTGTAAGTTTGTATTATAAAATTCACATGTACTTATATAAATAAAACATACGAAAATATTACAAAATCTTGTTCTAGGAAAATAATAAAAATGTTTCACAAGATCCCTATTCAGTACCAAAAGAAATTTGGTTACTAGTTGATAGACTTTACCGACATGGAATAAAGACCGCAGGATTATTTGAAACCCAAGGTCTACACAGTGAAATATTAGCAATAAGAGATTGGCTGGATATTGGTAGCCAAGATCCGATGCGTATCCTTCCTAATTTATTTTCTTAAAAAAGAGAAACATTAATAATACATAAATCGCCAATGACTGTCTAATCTATTCATTACAAAAATTCCTTAGCTTAAATAAATACTAGCTGGAAGTGTACATTCTGTTGCTGAGGCTTTACTTCTACTATTAGATTCTGCTCCAGAACCACTTGTTCCATACAATCTTCATAACATTTGTCTATCAGTAGCTACTAATTATGCGCAATGTAAACAGGTAAATCATAAACTACTCTATAACTAAGCTTAAATTTGAAATACATCAGGCATACTAATTCTCAATAAATATTCCAGATTGTTATGCAGTTGTCTGAAATCAGGAGAACAGTATTTTTGTACATATGCGCTTTTCTACAAGAACTTCTGAATCATACAGCTGACAATGGGCTAGATCCTAGAACTTTGGGTACGTTGAACAAAAATCATTTATTTTTACAGATTTTTTCAAGAATATTTAATTGTCTAATAATCAAACATATTTTTACAGCTTCTCTATTTGGCTCTTTTTTCTTGCGCGATCCCCCGAGAAGTCGAGATATAAATAATACACGAAGTAAGGGTACTCAAGCCACTTTCGACCGGAAAAAAGCAGCTTTTATATATCACTTTTTGATAAACGATCAGAGTGATTTCATCAACCGATAAAGTTAATTTAAATTTACCAAGAGATTTTTCAAGATTAATATATTCCTTCACGACTTTCAAGTAACATACATGATGAAGCAGATGTATGATCTCAGTAGCTTATGACATGTGGTCAACTGCTTTTCTATAGTCATCCGTATAGATCTTTCCCACTTGCTCATATATAAACATACTTAGTTTTGAAAATGTTAGCTATTAAATACGAAACTTGGGTGTAAAGCTGCAATGCCGAGAGATTTTATTTTTCTTCGCATTTGCGAGCTAAGTATTTTTATAGTTTTTATACGTGTAAAAAAACAAGCCAAGAAAAATATGGCATTGGTTTATTTTAAGCCATCAGTCAGAACGAGAGATTTATCATATGCCATTGAAAAAGTTATGTATTTAAAACAAATACGTAAATATAAGTTTGTAAACCAAGATCTTTGTAATCTATTGTAATATATTTGAGATTTTTAGATAGCCCAATTTTAATTATCAATTATAAAAAAACAAACTATTTCCAACATATTGTGTTAATTAAATTAACACTATATTAACTTTTTTGCATAATTGTATTGATTAATTTAGTCAATATAAACCCTATCATTTACCTATATCATATGATTATGTAACTTGTTGATAGGCCAATAAAAGAAAACTTAATACTACCCTTGACAATTTTTATTTGATATAAAAATAGAAAAAAATTACTAAAATAGGTACAAGGTGCACTGTTGTATAAACATGAAACTAAACATCAGATAATTTCAAATTGTAATTATTCTACGCTGATATTCATTAACATAGTAATGGTATATACAAACAACTAAAACTAAGAAATAAAAATTAGAATTGAATTTAAAACTGAAAACCACCTTGTGGCGCGGTAGTGGCTGCTTGAAACTCGAGTCGACCATTTTCATTACTAGCTGGAGCCACATTGGGATCGGCTTCCTATACCAAAAATATATTCATTCATCAAAAATAATACAAAGTGATCTCTTTATGCAATGAAAAAATAAACAAATTTTCTTACCGCTTCGGAGAAAAAGGCATCAATAATAGCCACAGCCTTCTGATAAACTTGTTGATTCTCGTGTGTTTGTAAAGCTTCAATTCGATCCAAGCCTCCAACTTCCTCTATCATCAACGCTACTTTATCAACTTCTCCCATCTTTTCTGCAGCATTCAAAATATTTGTCAAACCATCGAGAACGACAAGAATGCATTTCATGTCCATTGAATCAAGGAGATTACAGAACGGTGTCAGAACTCCTTGTTGAACTAAGTAAGCAAGCTGAGCTACATTGCCTCCAGATGTCAAATTAGTAATAGCCCATGCTGCTTCTTTTTGAGATTTGAAATCTCCCTGAAAATTTTTTTTTCAATTACATCAGTGACTATTAATATTACCAGCGAAATTTGAAACAACTGTTGTCATTAACTTACCACATTCAACACGTGTATTAAAGGTGGAATTAAACCAGCATTAATTACATGCTGTATTTGTTCTGTATTACCTGCTGTAATATTACTTATTGTCCAAGCAGCTTCTTTGACAATAATGACCCTTTTATGTTGCAACAGTGCACTAAGATACTTTAAACCACCAGCACTAATAATTGAATCTGTTTGAGCATCATTACCAGTCACAATGTTTCCTACACAACGAAGAGCAGGTGTAAGAACAGTAACATCTGGTGAGCCAAGTAATTCAACCAACTTTGGAACTATGCCTGACTCTAATACTGTTTGAATTCTCTCATTTGGACCATCTGTTAAATACGACAGTGCCCAGCATGCATCACCTACAAAATGATAACATTTGTAATAAAATGATCATCTGATTGAAAAAAAAACTAAATTAATCACTGAACATGATAAATAACTTTTGAATGATAATTGTCATGAATATAAAAATTAAAAAATACTGTTTTTTTTCATTTACCTAAGACATCTTTATCAGGATAACTCAAAAGTCGGTTAAGAAGAGGCAATGCCTCCTTAACAATTTCAAATGGTGGCGCTGGATTTTTATTTCTGCACAAGTTTGACAGGGTCCAGACAATATTGCGTACAAAAGACATAGAAGTTTCAGGACCAATGAGTGCTATTAATAGCGGCAAGGATCCTTCCCTAAGTACTACATCTCTTGGATTTGGCCCATCACCAGCAATGTTACCCAATGCCCATACAGCCTGCTCAGCTACACTTGTAGACGGAGATTTTAACAATTCAATTAATTTTGGAATAGCTCCATACTTTATTACAACTTGTGTTTGATCAGATGTTCCTGAAGAAATATTTGTCAATGCCCAGCAAGCTTCAAACTGCAGTACTGTGCTAAAATGATATATGACATTAATTTTATATTTAAGGAATAACACTAATTAATAAAATTTTTGTTTACTTTCTATGAGGTTCCAAGAATTCAACACATAAAGGTACTACTCCCTTCTCAATCATGTCACTAATGGGTGGATTCCTTTCGCGACTGAGCATTTTTCTACAAGCTTGAATGGCTTGAAGTTGCACTGCTTCATCAGAAGACTTCATACCAGTAATGATTTCATCAATGCTCATGTTAAGAACAGGAGACTTTTGATCACTTGGTGGACTAAGGGGCTCATTATCTTCGAGATTGATGTTACGCCTCTTAAGCAATTGATCATCCTTATGAGCTTTCCGTAACTCAATTGACACTTCTGTCCTCCTCCTTCGAGCTTCCTACAACATTAAACATCATACAACATTACATAGATAATCAGATTTTACCACAAATGAATATGTGCACTTACATCCGATTTTCCTTGAAACTTGAACTTTAAAATCCTAGCATTCGTGTTCATGTCTGGAGCAGGCATTTTGCTAAGGAAATAAGAAAACCATTTATCATTAAATTGGTATAGATTACCTCTATCTAATAAAATTTTTAACTCAACCTCATATTAACAACTATCACATCGTAAAAAAAAAATTGTATAGGGTATAGAAAATAAATTTGCAATTTAAGCATCAACTACCAAATTCTGAAATATTCTAAAAGCAATAGATTACATACATCAAATGTCCGAATTCCGGACGTTTCCAAAGCTATTAAGTAGGTATCGGACGCAACGACTATCAATTGACAACTGAAAGGGATCAAACAATCAATATCCTAACGAAATTTAAATGAAAAAACCGTTAGTCGACTTGAAAAGGTCAAACATGCGTGCATTTCGCCGAGTAAGTAAACACTGAAGGATCTTTGTGATGGAAACAAAAAAAGACAATAGTTTACACATCGTTCAACGAATAAAACCCAAACAAACTATTTTTGTTTACACAATCATCAAATAAACTACGAAATATCAAATGAAACGACAAAATATTCTAGACAAGCCATTTAAAAAGCAAAGTGTCATCGGCGCGTTTTTCGTAACCGCCGTCATTTGACGCTTAACTTTCGTGCGCTGAATATTAACCAAATATTAATATTAATACTTACCTAAATAATTATGGTAGAGATAAGTAACTATAAATCTTCGATTGTGGATTAAAATCAATTAACGAAAGCCGTGATGAAAGAACCTGAAATATATTCCGCGACCCGCGCGATGAACAATGTGACAACGGTTAATGGCGCCGACAGTCTGCATGCAATGCGCAAACCCATCGAAATTCACTACGAACAGCGCACGAAAATTTTTTGGTCAAGAAGAAGGGGAATTTAGTAACCAATGGATGGTGATTCAGAAGGTTGCGTGAATTTGATTGGATGAGATATTTGTAACGTTCTTTCTTATCATGAGTTTGAAATAACGCTCGAGAGCCTCATAATAATCTGTACGAGATATGGGTACATATGTAATAAAAAGTGATAATCGTAATTTATAAAGAGTTTATTATAATCATGCCACATTATTATAAAATAAATGCTTTGTAAATATTCCTCGTAATATCAGTTCTATTGTTATGCGCGTAACTATGCGAGAAACTTTCATCTAAGTACGGTCACGTTTCCTTTCACACATTGACATAAAACATTTTAAAAATGTGATACTATCTTTTTGATAAATTGGAAGCTTGAAGATTTGTATCATTCGTGATATTATAAACATATTCTGGTTATAATTATAACTTATGATAAACTTTATTATTTAACCGATTATTGTTCAAGTGAAATATAAACTAGATAGCAGTAAACTATCTATTGGGTTACTATTCAAATGAAAAAAAATTACTTCTGTTTTTTTCTTTTTACAGTTCCGATTATTTATACGAAATTACCTAAACAAATTAACAAAAATTTTGCAATTTCAAAAAAATGATAACACCAATCGATTTTACGGAGAAAAACAGGTTCCAAAACCTCTATACCATGTTTTGTCAGCTTCTATTTCATTAATGTATCGCTAAAAGAAAAAACACGAGTAAATTTTTTTTTTCATTTTGATAATGTTTCAATAGTTAGTTCAGTGCTACCTAGCTTGGATTTTGCTCGGCTAGTAATGAGTTAATTATGTTTCATTCAAATTCTTGGTCAAATTGCTAAAAATAATTAAGCAGTTTGACCTTACAATAACATTTATGAGTATTTAACACTGTACACAACACACATACTTTGAAAAGCTCTGGAAATATTTTAGGAAATTAAAATAATTAGTAAATTTTCCGGAAATCTATAAATCGATTTCTATTAAAAATGATATATTATCTACAAATAATATTCAATTAAAATTCCAACTATTGCTTTGTAGAAGTTGGACATTATTTCATTTGAAAATTAATCATTCACAAATTTAATACTTCAGCAATAATAAATAATCTATCAGCTATTACTAAATTCTATGACACAAATTTTAACTTACATTTTATAAAAGTGCTTTTCATTAAAACTGGATATAAATTGAATTTTATCACTTACTTAAAATCATTATAATTGACATAAATATTATCTTATGACATGTAACAGTGAATAAGGAGTTCTATTTAAAAATAACTATGAAAATTTGTTTAGTATTTTCGTGAAACAGGCACTTGGTGTCTAAATCAAATATTTGTAGAAAAAGTTTGTAAAAAATAGTTGTTCAATAGAAGTATCAAAATCAATAAGTTCTGCTCAATTTCGTAATTTCTGGTTGTATTGATATTCCAAAATAAAATCTAAAATTATGTAATGCATGCTTCAACAGTTTTCTTCACAGCATCTCTAGCATAAGGAATATAAGATAATGAGTACCACAACATAGCCAAATATTGAATTATGATAAATAATAATGCAAGGCCAGCGTTGTGAAGCTGAAAGAAAATATAATATTTTATATCAACTGCAAGTTGAATAAAGGCAGATAGATCAACTATTAAATACCTTTAAAGCTGCCCATAACGTGAGTCCAAATGCAAAAAAAACTATTACAGTTGCAATAACTCTTGTTGGGGCGAACATTTTCTTTATCTGATTTATAGGGCCCATCAAAAAGCATGTACTAAAATAATAAAAATGATATCTACCAATACATTAACTAAATTATTCAACAATTCATAATGATTACCTAGCTATGGAAATAAGATTTCCAAGTGTATAAAGCACTCCATAATATGTCAATCCATTATTAAGAAACAGTGCAAATGAGCCAAGTATGGATAGTAAAATTCCAATTATGAAGCATATAATGAAACCTTTTATTCTAGTTGTTTTACTAAGCTTCATTGTGTCAGAAACCTGGTTAATAAATTTAAATTAATATTTGCTGAAATATAAAACTATAAAAAACTACTGTCAACTTCATAATCTTACCGCAAAATCTACTTTGGACTAGCATTTAAAATTATAAATATTACAATTATTATCAGTATAAAATATTACATGGATATGAACAAATAAAAATAACAATAACTATCTAACTATATTTTCAATTTCAATATGTACATTTGTATGAGATTTTATTTTGATTTATAAATAAATTTTGTTAGAAAAATGTTTATTATTATTTCTGACACATAAAATAGTTTCGAAAGATTTTTAATCATTTATATGTGATATTTTAATCTATAACAAATACTTAGATTTAGATTATATCAGATAAAAATTTTAAATTACAAAAATTTCAGATACAAATTTATTTACCTGTGCCATAATACCATTCTGCTCATCAGCATTATCTTCTTCCCCATTGAAAAAACTCCTGAGTTTATCCATTTTGTGCAGAGAAAAAGTCTCAGTCTTAAAGAAAATACTTTGTTCTATTTTCCTCTTGAAAACCTCCAATATAACATCCAAAATTTAGCAACACCTCAGTAGTAGAGAAATCACTCCTGTCTTAAACACTACCAACAGCTGGAATCCTTGTAAAAAATTACCAACATCTATAAATATCTCGTTCAACACAATTTCCTTTCAAGGACGAAAACATGATTCTTTGCATTATCATTTAACGTTGTCAGATGAATAATAGCATTATTATTCTCTGATCGTATAGAGAAGAGGTCTCTTTTATCACAATCAACAGGTTGAAAGAGAGTTGTGCGAAGTAACCATAAAATGCTTACCTACACACTTTTCGTTTATAAGAGCACGTGGCGAATATGTGCACTTGCTAGCGGCAAATATGTAGAAAATCAAGTGGGCGTTGGAAAATTAGAATAATCAACGCTGTGCGTTCGCACATCACATAATCCGCAGGAACTGTCATCATCAAATTGGTTATGTTTAAATACTTGAGCTTTTATATCACGGTTGTTTGTTTATTAAACCGTCAGATGGCAACAACATCGTAATTTCAATAGATCTTTGTTTTAATATGGTTATATTCTTTGATAACGTCGGAAAAATAATAATATTAAGTATAGAAATAAATATTGTTTCTCATTGATTTGCCGATGAACATAATTTCATATTAAGAACCGACACCTCATCTAAAGTTTTATAATGAACTTATTATTTCAGAAGTGATATTACTGTTTTATATCAAATTTTCTTTATGAACATACTTTTTCAAACATAATTTTACCACAACATGGTACATGATTTTTTAACTAACTATTCACCATGGTTAGATATGTTGATATGGAACTTGAACATACCTCTGCAACTTCGATTAAGAGAAAATAAGAAAAATGATTTTGTTGAAAGAGGTCACAAGGTCAACGAAACAGTTCTTTTAACATATATGATACTAATTTGGACTATTTTATATTCAATCTACAAAAAGTGCCTTAATGTAAGTATTTTTTATTTGAATACAAGAATCATATGAATAAACAAACAATGCACATTTCACTTTTAGGTACATCTTAGGAATTTAGGCTATGCATTCATACGAAGGAACAGAATTTCAAATACCATTTGGACTTGTGGTCTCAACACAGTTATTATTTTATATACAGTATTTTTATGGGATACCATTTTGAAGCCAGAATTAAATGTTATCATGTTAAAAAGCCTTTATATACATTATACTGGAATCATAATTTTAATTAATAAAAGTTGGTTGAAAGGATTTTCAAATGCAATGTTGATATTGTTTGTATTTGGTATTTCTCGATCCAGGTATTTTTTTATAATAGTTATAGTCAACATTAAAATATTTTTATTGTCTAATATTCTAACATTTCTTTTTTTAACCAAGTTTAAAGTCTCCTGTTACTAGTATTTTTTTACTTACAACAATAGATGTGCTAATTCTGGACATTTGTAAAATTATGTATTTAAAATGGCCTCAGAAACTTCATCAAACTTATACTAAGACTTTGTACATTATATACTGTCTATTATGGTAAGAATATACAGTACAAAGAAAAGTTTGTTTAAAATATACTACCAATCATTATCAATGTCACAGGACTTATTTATACATGGTACATGTTCCAATTAACTTATTGTTGCCTTATAAATATCAATTCATACACGAACAATTATACCTCTGGCTTTGGTTTATTACACAGTATTTCAGTTTCGTAAGTATATATTTAAAAATTTAATTCTATATTTAATTTTTAAATAAAAAAGAATTTATATTTTTTAGGTTTTATTAGACTTGATAAGGAACTTTACATCATCAAGATTATTAGAACTATGCCTTTTTCCAAATCCTTCCACAGAATCAATTCACTTAAGAAAAATTTTTAATTCTTATAAAGAAATGAAAAACAGGTGAAATTGTTTTAAAAACATATATAGACTCCATTTCTTGTATTCTTTTACCAAGTAAATATTTAATTTACAGTACGGGAAAAGAGAGTGTAGCTGCTAAAAAAGAATTATGGCAAACTTTAATGTGTAAGTTACAAGAACAAGAACTTTGAAATAGTTGTTAAAAATACATTCATAAAGTTTTTAATATTTCTACACAGGTGCGATGACAATGAAGAAGAAATTAAATAGATTAAGGAAATCTAAACAAGCAAAAGAGAAAAATTTGTTTGAACAGGAAAATCTAAACAACAAAAGTAAATGATCCTACTAGTTATTTTATTTATTTAGAGGAAATAAATATGTAAATATACACTAATATTTTTGTAAATAAATGCGTAAAAATTAAATATTTTAAAGTTTGCAAAACCTGTAATTCTCTGTGTAAAGGAAATACGAGTAACTAAAAGTTTTTAAAGGTGACATAACAGTTTATAAATTCATGGAATATATATTCCATAAATTTATGAAATATACGACTTTGTCGATTAAATTACTTTTGTTTTTATTTCCATAACAATAAAGTATTCTTTACTTTCATTGCAAGAAATGATTTACACTTAATTCACTATTTAAGAAATAAATGCAGTAGGTTAAATATAATACTGTATACTCTATTTGCAGTTTAAAGATAAAAATAACATCAAGATTTCATTTGTCTTAGCTAAAATATAAGTTATTGGAAATGTAGATAGATCTAAAATTTCCATCTTTATCATACCGTGTATTATAATAGTAATTGAGAATTGAAACCAATTTTGACATACTATTACGTTGAGCGAGTTTCATGAACGAGTGCAACGACCTTTTTATATACATTTCTAGAAACATTTGATTGTGTAACAAATCACCTTGAACATTAAATCTATTGTCCTTTATTAACGCGAATACAACGAGAGACAAAATCATCAGCTATGTTCGCGTGCAACTCATAAAAATTACTTCAATGACATTACTCGCCTGCTTAATAACTTAAATCTTCCCTTATCTAGTTAATCACACAAAAGATGAGTTTGGAAAATAATGAAATCGCGAATCGTCAGGTAGATAAATGAACGCGCGCTCGACTTATTCGAGATTGAACCGATCGTGGAAAGAAAAACGTCGCGCGTAAAGAACGGCATAAATTGCCGAGAGTGTGATTATATAAAATTAAAATACTATAAGCTATTCAGATTTTCTTTTGATACTTTTCTCTGCAAGAATTTTCACAATTTTCACATATTTCGATACAATTATGTAAGAAATGGTGAAAAGAGCAGCTAGAAAAATATCTAAGCACGTGACTTAGTTCATATTGAGCCGGTGTGCAAATAGTGAACAGTTGTATCTTTAATGAGTGACGCCAAGTTGTCATTTGATGCGATTTTTTGGTGAGAAGCATCGCATGTGAAGCATGACTTGTGTCTTGATATACAATCGTACAATTGTTTTGGAAAGTTAGAAGAGAATTTTCAACACAGTTTTGCCGAAGAAGAAGACAAAGATTATTTTTGAACGGAATTTTAAAAAAATGTGCATTGGAAATTTTTAAAAATAGGTAAGACTGTATGAATGCATTTGGTTTTGTCATTTGCATTAATAAATTAAAACTGATCGTAAAATTAACCTGAGTAGTATTGTACGTACGTAATCGCTTTAATTTTTATAAACGTTTTCATCCCATGAATTCGATTGAATAAAAAACTAAAAAATCTGACTAAATTTTGTCTATGAACGTTTAGTCTCAACTTTTCAAAAAAAATTTAAAACATACATTTGCCATCTCTCGACAAAATCAAATAAAATTTGATGAAAGAACCTTGCTGCGAAAATTGCACGCTTAAAAAGCCAAGTTCATTGACTTTAATATCGCATCCGCTTCTTTTTGCCCGTTTTCCATGGAAAATTACAGTCGACCACATGATATGCACGCTGAGACGATCGATTTAAATGAATTATGCCAATGAAAAGAAGGCGTCGGCATATCGATAATCGCAGCTGTATAAATGTCACGCAAAAGCACACGCACATCGTACCAGCAAAGCTAATCAGGTTGTAAGTTGCATCGTCACTGCTGCGGCGAATCGAACGGTCGGTTCGTCGCGCGTAACGCGCACTGTATTAAAGGTGGTCAGGGGCGATGTCGTAAGGGCCATCGTACACGTGCGTGTGCCACGATAATCTCGCTTGGCCAATTTCGCGGTAATACTTACGTCGAGTTGACGCTCGACGACCTTGCATCGCGACCAATTTCTTAACGGAACGACGTGTAGCTGCTCGCCCTAATTATGGAAACTTCGTAGTCGCACAATTAGTCGGATATCTGACGCTCATCGGCGTCACGACGCCCGATCCTTGAAGACATCCTGTGTAATTTACGTTTCTTCCACGCGCAGCGATCGGCGGCAAGCGACACACATATATAGATGACATTAGCGGCCGAACATGATGATCAATGTTCGAATAATTACGCGTAATCGTCGAGGCTTGGCTTTCGCAGCTCTTTGTTTGGCGCGCGCGGCCCGCGTTCTCTCGCCCTGCTTACTTGTCCGCGAGATCGCGAAGAGAAAGAAGCACGCGCGATTTCGCCATTGCGCGAGGCGTCTCGAAAGCTCATTATTTCGGAGATCTCGCGCGGAGTGCAGGGTCAAGCTTACGCATCAACGAATTCACGAAAATGTGGGCCACTCGCGAAACGCCGACTCGCAATCAGAAGCCAGTCCAATAATCTTGCTGGGCAGAACCGGCGGCGAACCTCGGTACCATCAGCGATCGTCCGCGTGGCATATATATATATGCACATATATATATACACACATGCACATATATCTATATATTGAGGAAAGTTGGGCATTTCCCGAGCGCGCGCGGCGCTCTTTCACCTCGCTTGACGCGCTAGCGCGCCACGACGGGCGGGGATGATGCACGCGCCTTTTGTTTTTTCTTTCCCCGGAGACAGCCTTACAAAGTCCAAGCGTCCCCATGCTCCGGCGCTTACTTATCCTTCGGACGCCTAGCCGAAGAGCTGTTACGTCGCGCTCGCGCGCGCGCGCTTACTGATCGTGTCGACGTGACTGGCCACAGCTGAACGCGCTTCGCGCTTTTCAAGCGACCTATCGCTGCGGTGCGTGCTCTACACACGAGTGTGAGTTTCACGGGTTTTCGCCGCGGCGAACGTCATATTGTTTCATTGCAATGGGTACAAGTCGTTTTCTTTTCATTTCGTCTTTCAAGTTTCAGCAATCGAAAGCCAGCTTTTAAGAAAGTCCGACTCAAGTTCGTTTGCTGTTTTCACGATCGTGTATTTTCTTTTTCTTTTTGAGCTTATCTGCGATGCTGCTATTGACGAGTTGTAATTTTGAGATCGTCGCGGAACAAATTAATAATCATAATTGCGCAGATTTTCTAATACAAGCGAGTAAAAGCGTTCGTCAATTTTTCAGAAATACACAATGGGCAAGTATTTGGTGCTACCAGTGTTTGTACAATTCATCGTGCGCTATTGTCGAGCAGGTAAGTCTAAACTGGGTAGAGTTATTACATTTGACGGTGTTCGTTCGGATAGACGCTAACGAACGAACAAAAAATTATTCGAAGATAGTCAAAATCATAAAACTTAAAAATCGGTATTTTTCAATTTAATCTCACGTGAAAATCTCTGACGTAGTTTCAACAGTTTTTGTTATTAATCAGGGTATCTGCAATAGACGTTTGAGTCCAATGATAATTGTAAAAGTAACCTCTCATTAATTATTCATCGCAACGCTCGCCGCTGCTTCTGGCTTTTTTCTCAGAAACATTGATAAGCGTGCCGCAATCGCAACCCTTCTGGAAGGACGACGAAGAGCTGGCAGACACGATAGACTGGTCGTCGCACCCGTGTCGGCGCGCGTGCAAGGACGGCGAGGCGCCGATGCAGTGCCACTACGTGTTCCACATCGAGCACTACTACGCGATGAGCAAGGCCTGCTACGATTGTCCCTTCAATCGCACCGATTGCTTCAGGCCGCACTGCATACCTGCCGACGGCGTCAAGCGGCCGCTGGTCGTCGTTAACCGGCAGATGCCTGGACCTGCCGTCGAGGTGAGTCGTTTATTTTCGTCACGAAGGGCGCCCACGAGGAAACTCGCAGTTTTCCTTATGCGTGCGCGGCGGTTTTGCATCCTCTATTTTTGCTCATCCGGTTTGCTCCGTGGCGCGTTATTAATATCGAATTCAACGTCGAGCGAGCCGTTCAAATCCTTCAGCGCGATAACAGCGTAACTCAATTAGCGCAGGTCTGCTGAACGAGAAAAATTCTTATTAATCCAGATAAAGTGGCGATGTAAACGTCGGGGAAAGATATGTACAGTGCGACAATAAAAATATTCGGAAAAGCTTTCGACTTGCAGAAGGTTACAGAGTACTCCTTCTACGTGTCACGTCTTATCGTCTATTGTGCAACGCCATAAAAAAATACGCGCGCCAGCTGCCACTCACCGATGGCTAATTTCGTTTTCTGTCGACGTTAAACCGAATTGACATATTCGTTTAGAAAACTCGAAGCATAATTCTCTTGCTTTTTTCCTTTCATGTATATTTGTTTTTTTTTTATTTGCAATTTCACTTTTGCCACCACTCAATTTTCACGTTTTCGATATTTCGCTTAATTTGATTTTCAACGGTAAAACAAAGAACATAATACGCTCATATAAATTAATTAATTCCGATAACTGACGTAAACAGCAAATGCGTTGAAATGCGCTCTCCTGTAAAAATAACAAAGACGTCGAAACTTGTTCTTTTCCGATGCCTTTGAAAAATGAAAATAAGACCCAATAAAGGGTAGTGCATGATCTATCATGACATATCTCCATAAGCATTCTGTTGGTGAAAAAATTGCGTAGAAAGATATTTAAATGGTCTTGAAATATAATCGTACGTAATTGGTCTTGGAATATATTTGTACATAATTGATTTTACGTACGAAAATCAGTAAAAGAGAACCCGTTTCCTCGTGACTATTGCGGATTTCACTTTATGGCGAAAAGCTTTCAGGTCAAGTTTGGATTTTTATATAGGCTTACCGACCTTACAAAGGCCGTTTGCTATTATGATATATTCAACGTGAATATGCTATTCGAATCTGAACGCATGTGTTTTATGCAGAAAACGACATTTTTTTTTGTAATGTGAAACTTGATTGTGATTCGCGTTGCGGTGCTGCGTTGAGCAATACGTTTCAACGGAATGATATATATCAATTCTTGTGTTTGTTAATTTTACGAGGAAAAAGTGGGAAGTTTCTTAGTGGTACTTTTTTGAGTAACTATTGGGCAATTTTATTGGATAAAATTCTATTTGTTATTGTTTGAGACAAAAAAGAAAATTAGCAGTTATGTATATATGCCGAATGCAAATTCAAAAACCACGAGTATTTGTTATGAAATCCATAAAATTGATTACCGTTAAAAAAACTTTGCAAGGATAAAATACGGTTTTTTTTAACATTCTTGACGTAACTTTTGTACATGAAATATAATTTTGTTTACATAATAATTTACATAATAAAAATAGTTTTGTTTCCATAACCGGAAAATTACCGTTAGTACATGAATATAACGAACGAACTCGAGTATTTTTACATTTAACTCTCAATCTACTAGAGGCGTCGTTAAAAATCACTGAAAAGCCACGCAGCATCCACCGAAAAATCCCCCAATGCGCGCGTCATGGCCTCACAAGTGAACCGCGACTTCGCAGAATATAGGTATACACGTGAGTGCCGTGCATCATCTTACGCAGATCGATCCGTTTCTGTTTTCATAATACGCACGTGTCCTTCGCGAACAGGTGAATGGTTCCGGGATCGCGAGCTCTGAACATGCCTCTCTTTTCGATTATCGCGGTGCGTCCTGATTGACGAACACATAAGCCTTTTTTTCTTACCATGCTGACGTGTGTATAGGTGTTTTAAATTTAAAATAGTTTCAGCCGCAATGCATTTTTATGAACCGAGCATTTGCTCCTGATTTCAAGATGTGCGCGCTCAGATTCAGTTTGCTCATTGTTCTATGTGATGACGTTGTTTTATTTTGCGGTCGGTCAAATATTTTAGCGCTTTTGTTAAGTTTATAGTTCAGAAGCGAATTCTAAGAAATGAATGACGCGTTGCCACTTTTGTTTTGGATAAGGAAGCGAGCAAAAAATATCGGCTAGCCTGAACTACAACGATTTTCGGCGTTGCGCAAGCTTTTTTTTCGCCCAAAGCACGTCGTGACTGGATTTACAAAAAGTAATTCCAAAAAATAACTATTTACAGTGTTGCTGTACCTGCTGATTGTAATTGAGTCATTCGAAGTTTCAATTACCTTGTGAAATAGCAGCAGATAATAGTTATGATGATAAATTTTTATCAATTTTCGATAATATTGATGATTGCATAGTTACTATAATAAATTTAAACTCGTATGGTTGAAGAAATTCCAACACTAATTAGCAGTTTAAGGTGAATGAAAAAATACATGACAAATTCAATGGAATATTCTTATTAAAAAGTTATTTTCACTAGTGTCTTATTTAATTTCATAAAGTGATGATTAATCAAATAGTTTCAATTACGATGATCATTAAAGATTCATAATTGACGGAAAACCTTACAAAACTACAGTGTATTTCATTGGAACGTATCAGTTCGGCCATGCTTGGCAATCGGTTGTTCGACGGTGAGAAAATTAGCCCCTGATAAAAACGTTAGTAGATTTTCAAGGGAATTTTCAAAATGTCGTAAAAAATTTATAAAATTGAGAAAAGAAAATGATTTTTGGTTATCCATATAATTACCCGCATGTGTCTTATCAAACGCGACTTCAACTATACTGGTAGCGATATTTTCTAAATGGTCAAATTAATTTGGGCTCGTTTGCGATACATTATTTTTCTTTTATCGAACTTGTTTTTTACAACGTAATGCATTGTAAAATGAGAACACAACTGATATACATTAGACTGTCGTCTGAGCGCACAATTTAGAACGAAGTAACAGTCCATTTGCTTATTCAACTGCCGTTGTAATCTTTTTGCGAATTTTCACTGGTTTTTTTGTCCGTCGTTTTTGTAGGTATGCGAAGGTGATAGGATAATAGTGGATGCAATAAACATGATGCATGCCGATAGTACAACATTACATTGGCATGGACAACACTTACACCGTAGCCCTTACATGGACGGCACACCCTTTGTCAGTCAATGTCCAATTTTGCCTGGCGACACGTTTAGATACAACTTTATTGCTGAGACGCCAGGAACACATTTTTGGCATTCGCATGTTGGTAAGTTCGACATTTGATGCGCGGAGAGGAAGGTAGACGCTTTGGACTTAATATTTGAGTGAGAAAAATCTGCAATGGTGATTCCATTGCAACGCTTTTGTGTCAGTAGTTGATAGTTGCGTCAAATATTTGACTATTATTTGTATAACGACTACAGTTTCATGAATTTCAAAGAATATTTTAACTTTTTAGTAATAAAATATCTGTGTTGCTTTAGCTTAATTTACAAGTTTACGGAGCAAACAATGGTTTTCCAGCTAAATTATATGACAATGGTAGAGCGTTCTTGAAATAGATCGTCACGCGATTTTTTCAAACAAAGATTATCAATGTCGTTACGCGTCACATGTGCGTGGGTGTTTCGCCTATATAAACTTGATAAAGACTTTTGTGTAAATAGGTTTTTTATTTCGACATTTCGTTATTTTCGCAAGCAACATTTTCTGTTTTGTTGAATGTATGAATTTTATTTTTAACTATATTCATGGCGTTACATTTGTAAGTAATTTATTATAAGAATGCAAAATTCCTATTCGGAATATATTATTGTACGATGTTCCATTCGCTGCCTAAGTGCAGGCGTTCCCTGAAAAACATTTTTATGTAAATGAAGGGAACGATCAGAAAGGTTTTTTAAAATGAAATTTCAACTTTCTTTCCTTATACAATCCAGTATAAATGAATTGATAAAGATAATTACGTTGCACGGTTACGAGGCATTCCATGAAATATTATGTGGATTATTTCAATTCTCGGTCACATGCGTACATTACATTCCACTCCGAAGGATAATACTCGAGAAATGAAAAAAGATATACACTTTATCGCGAAATCGAAATGTGTCTTGAATAATTGCTGGCGCTTCACGTACTGATTTTATTTTTATTCCAAAATTGCCGCTGACTATTCTAGACATCAATCTTGTGCGTGTTGCATTTGCATTGCGTCTGCGAATTATAAACAAACAGTTTTTATTAGTCGGGTTAAGACATAAGTTAATACGCGTTTTGTAAGATGCCAACCGATCGCACGTCAAACTTTTAATTAAGGCAAAACTGAATTCTGCAAATTCACGATAAATACCATAATGTAGTAATTAAGATCTGTTCTTAATGCAGAACAAAAAATTTCTTTTATTTTTTGTTATTGTGCATTGTAGCTATATTAAATATTTATTTATCATCTTTCATCACTGAATAAATAAAAAACTTATTTTTACTACTCGACATGAAATTAGGCTCTTGAAGACTTGTAAATAAAGTCATTTATTGATTCAATTATCATAATTTTTACCTATGATAACTTATTTGTGAGTCAGTTAGGTCAATTACCTTGTTAATACGTGTTTCAACCATACTTCTTTAGAGAACCAAAATTTGCAATATTTAATCAAAGCCATCATCAAAATCAGCAATTAATATGCAAATACAGTACATTGATAAATTTACTAATCAGGTTTCCAACGAGGCGACGGTATGTTTGGTCCAATGGTGGTGCGCCGAACACCGAAACGGGATCAACTTCGCAACCTTTACGACTTTGACGATCACATAATGGTGATATCTGACTGGGACCATGAACTTGGTTTGGATAAATTTTTAGCTCACTACCATGGTGGCAGAGATAACAAACCACCTAATTTATTGATCAATGGACTTGGCCGTTTTGATGCTCCGGACGTGGAGGGCAAGGTTGGCATGACCACTCTCATGCCGACCGCGACGTTTAACGTCAGACAGGTAAATAATACTTTGATCCGTCATATGATATCTCGTACCTGAAGAGATTTGCAGAAGGTTTCGGATGAATAAGTGTTGCGTGGACTAGACGAGATGCTGCGTGGTTCATTGTTACACCTCGCGATTGTACGAGACGATGACGTGAATTGCGTGACTCCTTTCCTTTTTTGTCTTGCAAATGCGTGAGTAAAAACGACGCGTGGTGAACTTTTTTCTTTTTTCGAAATCAGGTGATTCCGTGTTTATTTTCCTTGTTTCAGTTTTGTTTTTCGTTTTTAATTTTTTTTCTGAGTTCTGATATTTTTGGTAATTATACAATGGGATGCGAAATTATACCAGTTTTTATACTGACTAGAGTATCCGTACTTGAAAGTCGTGTGATTTTATTTTCCTGCGCGGATGCGTAAGCGCATAAAACTGGTTTATTATGTAATTATGTAAATTTCAATTGACATACTTCATCGACAGTACTACCTTTCAACTTATTTTTTAAGTAGGAAATGGAAATAATAAAAGTTAAAAGTCAATTGATGTATACATAGATAAGAGGACACATAGAAAAACAGCATTCAAAACACGATGAGAATACCTCAGTAGTAATAGCCGTAGCTAAACATAATGATAATATCCCCTAGAAGGAAAAAAATGCGACCTTGCGGTTTTCAAATTGTCGGTTCCCAAATTACGCGCAAACTTAAGCAACGGTAATGTGAATTGTGCAACATTGAAATCATTCCATGCAGGCGCGCGGCTCTTTCACTCTCGACGCCGTAAGAGTGGCATCTGAATCGTCAAAGTTTATGTCTTCTTTCACCGAATTTGACTGATTCAAAGGTAAATAAAATCCTTTATGCGTGTGATGAAAAGGCGCTGAAATGAAAACCGTTGTGGCTTGTTAAGGCGTTCACGCGCGTGTAATTATTGTTTAGAGCCGAGAGCGCCGTTAATGTCAGTATCAAGGTGCTATGTTGAAACGCGCATGTTCGCGACCTTAAACGTCATCGAGATGTATAATTAGCTATACCACTTTTTATGCTACATACTTGCCTATCCTTCTTTCACGGAGTCACGTAGCTCCCATTATATCGCGAGTGAGCAAAATGATGGATTCGCGCGTTGTTCAACAGGGTTACAGATATCGCTTTCGCATAATGAACGCAGAGTTTCTTAACTGCCCCATCGAGATTTCCATTGACAATCATACACTTTGGATCGTCAGCTCGGACGGCAGAGACGTGGAGCCCGTGGAAGGTAGGCGAGCGAATGACTCCGCCGTTTGTGGCTGTTCGAGAAAGTCGCATTGATTTTGACATGATTTTACAGCCAAGTCGCTGGTCACCTACGCGGGCGAGAGGTTCGACGTCATAGTCGAAGCCAGTCAAAACGTCAGTAATTACTGGATAAGATATCGAGGACTGCTGGACTGCGGTCCTACCTTCACGAAAGCTTACCAAGTTGGGATTTTGAGGTACGAGGGCGCTGCCGATGCCGATCCGGAAGCTGAGGTTTCGTACGAGCTCCCACCCAGAGACTCTCTGACTACGGTATTTATCTCGTCTTGGCGCTTCGACTTGCACTCGAGGCGAGATTAATCGACGTTGCTTTTATTTCAGCAAATCAATTCGTTGAATAAAGGAACGGAATCGGAGGATACTTTGAGTATACCCAAGCTGGACGCTCTCGACCAGAATTCCGTGGCGAACACGAGAGAACCGGATTATCAATTTTTCATCTCGTACGACTTCTATGCAAAAGACAACGTGGATTTCCATCGTAGAAATCTGTACGGATTCCATCAAGGTAATCAATTCGTTCTCGGCTTTTTTGCGCTCACATAACGATCGTGCATTTATGATGGTGATTTTCTATAACAAGAGAAAAACGTCATCCACTTGACGGCTATAACTCCAAGCGTTTAAGTGGTACGCATCTATTTACGTAAAGCGTTGTTAAAAACTCGATTCTGTCTGCATCTTTATCGCGGCTTTCCGATCGTTGACACGGTTACGTTTCACACTCGCTGCCGACGTATGCGGCACAAAAAGTAATAACAATTATCGTGCAATATTAATCGCAAGTTTTCCTTTATTTCCAATTCGCTCGCGCAGTGAAAGAAAAAGTGGGCACGCCGCAGCTGAATCATATATCGATGAAGATGCCGACGTTCCCGCTGATGTCACAGCCGGAGCTCATCGACGAGAGCAGCTTCTGCAATTCCAGCACTGTGAGCGGTTGCGAAAAGGACTACTGCACCTGCCCCCACGTGTTGCAGGTCAAGCTCGGCAGCGTGGTCGAGCTGGTTCTCGTTGACGAAGGTAACGCAACGGACGCGATCGCAATGCGTGCGTCATGCGCGTGCGAATTCCGACGGGTTCGGGCGCGACGACGAATGCTCGCCGCGACGTCAGCGCTGGCTTTTCCAAGTCACCCGGCGAATCCATTGGCCGACGGAAAGCCGTCGGGAGCAGCGACGAACTCACGTGCGAGATACTTCGCTTTATTGGTAACAACAACCTCGGATGCGAAGTAGAATGCGTAGTCCCGCTAAAACACGCAAGTTCCGATTCTTCTTTCGAATAGGCCGATTTTTCCACGCAAAGCAGCCTCGATAAAGCCGCGCTGAGTAGCCGTCCGGCGCATCGCAATGGACGCGTAGCGAAACGTGGCCGCTAAGGATCTACAGTTCGAGAGGTGATGTTGGTAATTGGCCGGATAAATCACGTGGCTTACATACGCTCCGTTACACAATTGCAAGGCGCGTGCTCGACGCTCGTACAGCCGTGTAGTTGACGAGTCAGTCCTTGGCTGCGGGAGAGAGCCACTTTTTCCCTCACTCTCGCGCGCTGATCTTTTCGCTTTGCGGAGCGAGGCGCAATGAGCTTCGCTGATACTTTCGTTACTTGCGCTGCGTGCGATCGGTCGATGAAATCAATCGTCGCTTTTTTTTTTTTTTTTTTTTTTTTTTTTTTCGAGTCGCCGACCGATGATTACATCGTGCAAATGCGCTCGACGCCAAAATCGATCGGCGACAGGAATGCACGCCGCCGTGCACGATGCGAGCAGAGAAAATTAGAGGCCAGCGCGCGCAGCGTCGAGGCGCGCGGAGAGATCGCGACGAACTTGACGTGTGTCGAAACGATCTTGGCGCAGGTGTGCCGTACGACGCCAACCATCCGTTCCACCTGCACGGTCACGACTTTCGCGTGGTGGCGATGGAGCGTCTCGCGAGCAACGTCAGCCTCGAGGACGTGCGCAGGGCGGATCGCGAGGGACGCATTCGCCGGAAGCTGGACAGGGCGCCGATCAAGGACACCGTCACGGTACCGGATGGCGGCTACACCGTCATACGTTTCCTCGCCGATAATCCTGGTAAGTTCGTGTTTGCCGATGCTCGGGACTTTTTTTCGTTCTCTTTTGAAACGTAAGAAGCTGATAACGAGGGTACAGATCGCAGATTGAGCGCGCAAAGTCCGGGGCTTTTTTTTTCGCGCGTGGTGTCGTGCAATTTCCTCGAGACGGCTACAAGCAATCCGAGCGATAAAATCGCGCGACGTCTTTAACGCGATGTCAACGATCTGCCTGCTCGGACGGCCGTGTAATTAGTTCGCCTCGCGAAGGAAAAATCGCGGTTGAGCGTCAAACTCTTTGTGTGATACCGAAGAAAAGCTCGGTCGCGCTAATTGCGCTTGTCGACTCGTGTGTAGATCTCCAAGGCTTCTTCGTGAAAAAATTGAAATCAAGAAATTTAAAACGTAAAATGAGAAAGTTGAGCGAAGCATAATTGTTGTTATTTCAAATAAATCAATTTCAATTGATGCCTCAAGTTCGTTAGCCCAATAAAGCCGACTCATACCGATTGCTTTCGCAGGCTACTGGCTGTTCCACTGTCACATCGAGTTTCACTCGGAGGTGGGAATGGCACTGGTCTTAAAAATCGGCGAACACCAGGACTTCGCCCCGGTACCGACGGGCTTCCCTCGTTGCGGTGACTTCAAGCCCGCGAAATCCACGAGCCCGACGTCGACGACCGCGAGGACGACGACGACGACGTCGGCGGACGAAATACGAGACAACGAGGTCGGCACGATGGACGAAAAGCTGCGCTCGTCCATCGCCAGCTGGCTTCCGCTCATACTCAACGAGTTGCGGGTTGCCAGTTCCACGGCGGCTCTGCGCGGCATGTCCTTGGCCGCGACGACGGCCCCGGGACTGCTCGTCGCTCGGGCATTTTTCCGATGAGTTGCTTCTCGCGCTTTCGCGGGCTTTCCCCTGTCGCCAATACGCTATGCGGGTACATGCGCGCGAGCGCGCACTCGCGAGATTCGTCTCGCGCTCGTTCGGCGAGAATGGGTGATCGAGCGACCGACGATTCGACGCGTATTATCTCTTTACCGCGTGTCATTTTTAATGAACACAACATATGTGCAATTAGCCGGATCTTATCTTACATATAACTAATTAGATGTAAGATAAGATTTAGGCGACAAGTGATATGCGAAACAAATGTTCCGAATGCGAGAATGGTTTTCCCCGAGCCGTGTGTCGTAGCGAAAGATTCCAGTTTTGAACATTTACATGTACGCTTTGATCGTCAGTTGCAAACAAATTCATTGAGTCTTTGATAGTTGATGCCTTGAAAATAGTGATTTGAACTGTGATACTTGTCGAAGGAACGGATTGCCAAGTCAATCCGATCGACTTCTTTTCTAAAAGCAACAACGGATGCCCATGCCCTGTTTTGCCGTTAAATGCATATTGTTTAAACTTGAAATCGGTAGGGTATCGCATAATTCCCAAATACTCAGACTTATCTTGTACTTCGTTCTAGTATTAAAAAGTATTGTCTTAATGATTAACTCCGTTGTGTTGACAAGATCGTTCTCAATACTCAGTGCTGAGAAAGCAATTGTATTTGATCACGCAGTATTGACGCTCATTATTTTAAATGAGTCGAGTATTCGACAATCAGTAGTCTTACTCATTTAAATTACAATCCCATTGCGATTCACCTTTGTCAAGCCGTAAACTTAGTAACAGCTGTTGTCGTCACACGCATTTTCCTTAATCTATGATGTACAGTATATGCGTATAGTTTAATGCTTGTGTGTGTCTTAAAAACATATTTAGATGTAAAGAAGCTTTTAATTAGCCCATCCTTAATAAATTATTTGTAATTTCTATCGAAGGTATATGAAAATTGACCAATTTTTTTCCTTAATGAATTCAATTTAAAGATTTTTTGGTATCTTGTACTAAACGAAGATTGCCATCAGCCTCGGTGATCCATCAGATAAGACCAACAATAGTCAAAGAAGCTTGTTCATTGATAGTTTCAAAATAAATTGTTTGCTCGAGCATTTTACACGCGCAAGTATATCAACGACGAGGCATCCGCAAGCACGTTAAAATATGGTGTAACGAGAGATTTTGAAGAAAATACTACGTGCAGCCAAAAAAATGGATGTTTTGCTTTTAGCAGAAGTCAAAGCAGCATACAAAATGTAGTAAGAGAGAAAGTTAACGACGCTGGGAGCTTACATTCTCTACGCATATCCATCCAGCCGACGATGATGTTTTTCTTGCTAACTGGGCTTCCCAACTTCGGCGGTTGACGGGTATTCCCTGATTGCTGCCCCCTCCACCTTCACCTTCAAGCCCGCATTTTCGATAAATTGATCGCGGTCCTCTTATATAGGTTGCCTGGCGAAATGTTGCACAACCTAGAGAGCTTTTTGCCACCGAGCCGACGGCCACCGCCCGTGTCGTTCTCTTCTCAGCTAGCGGCCACGTGCGTTTTCTTTCTTGCGCGTGATTCGGCCACGTGTCCGGGGAGTGCACGCAACTCGTCATGTACGACCTCGACAAAGTGCTCAACTTGGCCAGGTACGGAGTTATGGCCGAGCATGCCGACTACTTGACTGACTTATCCAAGGGCGCCTGCCAAGTCATCGTGAGGAATCCTTACATCGACGCTGCAACGGATGCCATCCGCGACGAGCGCGTGCCAGAGTGAGTTTTGCCGCTTCCTCGGCGCGCCGTTGCGCACGGCGATGCCATTGACGTGATGCGAGCGCTCCGTAATGTCTCCAAAACCCAATGATCGCTGATCGATGCGGCTCGATCGATAAGTCGACCTTGTTCCCGCGAAACTAAAGCGTCGTGCCTGCTAGAAGAGTACGCATACGTACGTACGAGCGAATTGAAATTTATTTTCTGCTAGCAATTGTTTGAGAATAAGGCGTGCAGGGGATTTCTCTCCGGAAAAATTTCGTTCGGTGTACGTGAGCGCACACGCATATAGATTCGATCGGACGCGTGTCCCGCGATCGTTTATTTTTACAAAAATATGACACATGCAATTGAGTCTGAATAACACGAATACGTAAAATAACGATTAATGCCCAACGATAACGTGCTTTCTAATGATGAAAATACATGAACTAATAAAATACAAATTAATCCGAAGAGACTGCATTTATCCGACTTATTTAAATGACAATTTTTTAGAAAAGATATATTTTGAAAAGAATGCTAAAATTATTAAATACGCTATCGGTAAAAGCGACTAACATTATCGGCTTGACGGCAGGAATTTTCATGAAATTACTTAATATGTCTGAGTTCGTTTGTCCATTTACAAGAATTATTTCCTAACATTTCCTCTCTTCCCAGCAGAGATTCCATTCCACCTGTAACGCACCAACCACTAACCACCACAACGTCGAGATCACCCCAGCAACAAGTCCCCATCAGCGAAGCAGCAACGTTAAGCTCGCAACAAAGCGCGCCAGCAGCAGTTCCGCGTCATCTACGCGCCATATGCACATTCTGCGGGAAAACGTTCGGCCACCTCGGCGACTACAACAAACATCGCAGGCGACATACCGGCGAGCGACCATATGCTTGTGACGTGTGTCAACGTCGATTTGCACATGCGTCCAATCTGCAGCGACACCGACGATTGCACTCTGGCGAAAAACCCTTCGAGTGCCCGACCTGTGCCAAAAGGTTCAGTCGCAAGGATAAATTGGCCGCTCACGAGACGAGGCAATGCTGCAAACCGAGTGCAACCACGAAATCAAAGGAATAACACCATTATAGAACTTTTTTTGCGTGCGATGAGTTTCTCGTCAATCTAGACGCGCGCGCGCGCACACACACACGCACGCACACGCACGCGTGTGCCCGTACTGCGACGAATAATTCTCTCGTAATACTGTGGAATGCTCAATCGTGATAGATTTGTATATTTTGTGCCAGTACTTGGATTATTGTACAATTCTGTGATAGATCATACCCACTGCAAGAGACTAGTACTTCAAATGTTCCTATGTAAATAATGTGCATCGTAAATATTAATATCTTACACATAGTCAATATAATTAACACATTGCTAATACTTAACATGTACGCCAGAATCATGTATTTTTTAACTCAGAGATAGATAGTAAGCAAATAAATTTATTTATAATTAATAGCGTAAGGAGGCCGTATTGTTCATAATCAAATAGATTTGTTATAGAGATCATCACAAAATTTTTTATAATTTAGCTAGTCAAGTACCATAATTAAAATAAAAATATAATTAAACCACTTCTCTTGATTTATTGAACTGAGATTCTTACCAATTCTTACCAATTCTCATATTCCTTTAGTTTTTATGAGATGCATTTGAACAAAATATTATATTTGAAATATATTAATAAAAAAGACTTCAATTTAGTTTTATAGAAAAAAGTCAGACGCTTTGATGAGATTGCGATAAATAATGTGGCCTAATAATCTGAAAGAATAAGTTCACATTACAGTACCACATTACGTTGTGACTGACCCCTCGTTCACTCTATCAACTCTAACATCGGATATCCTCAAATAATCCATGTCGCATAAATCCTCGCACCTATATGAAAAATTTTAAAACGTATAGGAAAATTTCCAATACTAATTTCCATAATGCGATTACGATACGAATACGAGTGGAAGGTCAAGGAAAAAAACCATTATAGTTATACAAATTACCGCACCCCTAGTATGAATGAAAATGTTGTCAATCTTAAAAGCATTAAAAAAAAAGTTTTCGTTACATTTTCGAGGTATCACTCACCGAATATCAATAATATGTAAGTAATATCGTAGAAATGAAAAAAATGTATTCTAATTTTATCAACTAAGCGATTCCCTTGACTGGATATCAAATTCGCTATTATGTCCCTCCACTTTAGATAAGGTGACCAACAGATTCTTCTTTGCGAACTTTTAGATGAAATCATTGGTAAGTTAATTTACGAACATATCAGTCAATCCAAAACATTGGAATTACTTCAGATTTGCCTTTGAACAGTCGTTATTTTTGAATAAGAATACGTGATTAAAATACAGGCTAATAGTTTTACAATACTTCGATTGTCACGGTAAGGTTCATTTCATACAGATACCGATTCTACGTGATTTTATTTAATACGAATTTTTTTATTTTCCTTATTTGATAAAATGCTTTTTTAATGTACACAAAAATAAAAAATAAAAAATGAAATATTATCTTATATTATACCTTTCTACAGAGAAATTAACAAACGATTAATTGACGTAAAATATTCTACAAAACATAATTGTACGTTTGACCATATTTTTCATAATGGACAAAATATTAATCTTATATATAATTCTTTCAAATATTTTTTATTCCTGCAGAAATATTTTATGTACAATATTTCTAAGTCAAATTAGTACCTTTATCATATTTTATGGTTTTTGGTTAAATAAATAATGTTTAATGAATAAAATAAAAAAATTTGTATAGAATCAAAATCATGTAGAAACGGTATCTGTACAAAACGAACCCAGCCCTCAATTACTCGTATATCCAAGTTTGAAACCCTTCTTAATTCTTAAATTATTATCTGACATATTTTATAAATAATTTCTACGGCTTTTTTGTTGCTGGCACAAAATTCGAGGATATTGTAAGCGGATCGTGGGTTTTCAACGAAATTATGAATACATATCTATAATAATCGTAAAGTTTGGAAGAAACACAATAGTTAGAAAAAGATTGAGAGGAGGTTAACTTTTTGGGAACAACGAATATAATCAATAAGGTGAAATCACGATTGCGAAAGAAATACGAAATTACTAAAGCTACGTATTCTGGCAGTATTTATCTCTGGCTCGTCAATTCCTGGGATGAATAGGCTTTCATCAAAACCTTCGCTTATTATATTACGATTCTGTTTCGCGAAGTGATCGACAAATATTAACATAGATCTTTTGGCGATGAATCGAAATTCTTGGCGACAGCTATCTACTTACATATCCATATATCAGCAACTTGTAGGTACTCCAATTGGCATAGATCGGAATCCGGTATTTTCAAGTCTTCAAAAATGATTCTTACTAATGCTTATAAATCTTCCAGTAGTGTCGTGTATTATCCACGTACATGTGATTTCTGAAGAATAAGCTCGAGATAGCCAGGCGAAATGAGAATTTGAGTTATATCTGCAACTTGTAAATCATTAACTCTATAAGATACTACAAATTATGTGAATGAGATCAACAGAATTGAATTACAAGTGACAGCTCTCAATGATCCTTCGACGCCTCGACCTTGATTAATTCCATCAGACACGAATTTAATCCAAAGCAAATGAGATAAGTACACGTGATAGTTGCTGGTTCCCTGTTACCGCAGTAATGACCGATGACTTTCGGGTAAAATCCGCCATCTCGAATTTAAATGCAACAATGCAAAATCAAAAACTTAAAAAATCGGTAATTCATTGTTTAAAATAAACGTTGTAGTCTTCGTACGCGTCACATATAGTTTATAATGGGTTAGATTAATAAAGATGATAATTTGAATGAAAATAATCTATAGTTGATGTAATAAAGAATCATGTTTAAGTAATAATTACATGTAATCGCTATTGCACGACATGCGTTTATTGACTAATGTATCGTTGAATAGTGTATCTTTTAGATCAACGTCAGTGATAGATACACTTGTGAGCTTGTGGTATCGTGATCAGCCATCTCAGCCATCATTCAACCGTCAGAAAAAATTCGGGTTGTCAGATTGTTATATTGACAACTATAGTATTTGTCAATACAGTAATGTTCATTGTAACGCAATTTATTATGGTTAAAGATGAGTGATATAATGTATTTTTAAATTTTGGTAAAGTTATCAATGCTACCGCAATGCGCGCACTACTCAGCCCTGAAACTTTCGCAGTTAGTTTTGTCATTGGAATGAAATTTTACTTTTATTTTTCTTCTCGTAGTATTGAATGATTTGTCAGGAGCAATACGCCCGCAAATTTTTCCTAAATTTTCATCACTATCATTTATGTATCTTATCCACTCAGAAACCTATAAATTGTTCAATATGTGATTAACATTCTATAATGTTAATGTAATACCTGTAATGTATTATTTTTATAGCTCAACGTAATCGTGCTCATAAATTGTGCTTGTTTGAAGATTGAACCTTTTAATAAAATTGAGGCCAACATGGAATCCATTATTGACTATTATTTCGCAAACACACTATAAACAATCATACTTACCTATAAGTTTTAGGTCATGAATAACCATTTGTTTCGAATATACACGACATATCATTTAAACGGATCTCGTAAGCTTAATTACCATATTACTTCTCATATTATTAAGAAATTATAAATTTCATTTTTCACATAAGTTTATTAATTTCAAATAAACAATTTCAAATAACAATTACGATTAACGTGTTTTCATAGGTATTTATTATAACGTTTTAATTACAGATACACAAAATATCTAAGACGTGATCACTGCTTTTATAATCTAAAATATTACAATTGTTATTCGAATTTTACTTAGCATGTTTTATTCTATTTTATCTTTTATTCAATAACATTAAATTAGCAACATGATAATTTTTTCTTAACTGCAGGCTTTTGTTCTGTCACTCAAGCTGTGTCTAAATAAAAATATTTTTTCCTCATAAATTCTACTTTTAATTATTCAGTTCAAAACAAAAAACTATTTTCATCGTAATTTACTCAATAAGAATATTGTGTTTCCACATCAAAACATGTATTAAATATATAAGATAATGACATAAAATCTTTTAACAAATCCAAAGAAAGTTAACTTAGGCTATCTGATGCGAATTGCAAAATTAAACTTTTCTAACACGTAAAACTTAAAATTCAAATCCACGGAAATAATTTTTAGTTGAATTCAATGGACCTTTCTTAACCTAACTAATTTATTAGTTTTGCAATCTTTATTTGGTAGGAGAAAAACAATGAATACTGAAACAAGAGCCCACAAACCAGTCCCCTTATAAAAAAGTCATGATCGGATGTTATGAAGTCAAGATAAACGCTATCTGATTGCCTCGTTCAGTGCGCATGTGTCTATTTGAATCTAACCTAATATAATTTGAAAATGTTTTATCTAAATTATGCTAATTTTTGTTTTTGTTTAAATATTAATATATAAAATCGTTTTAATATTTTTAATTAAAATTATTTGCATATACATAAATTATATTTCATTTAAAAAATTAATTTTGTCATTAATAATTTTTGAGAAAAGTGCTACTTCTTCCAATCTGATTATTACCGTTAGAAAGCAGAAAATTGAGAAGCTATACACCCCTCTGCATTGATTGTAATCTCTGACAAAAGTCCTGACAATTGTCAGAAAGCCAAAGGTGTTGTTGGCTTTTAATAAGTGGAGTTGGCATATCTTTTATCGTATAACTTTATATTATGTAAAGACGTATTTCCTTTCACTTTCAAACAGAAATAATTTCCAGTTAAATTAGCCTTTGCGATCGTAATAAATAAAGTGCAAAAGTCAAACTTTTGACAAAGTTTGTTTAGATCTACGAAAAAATGTTTTTAATCACAAACAGCCTTATGTAGCCATGTCTCAAATTTGATCTTGGCGAGATCTCCTCATAATTTATCTTGGTGATCATCAAAGAGAAAATACAAGTGTCAAAAATTATCTTTGTTAAAAGGTGTATTCGTGATTATTAAATTTTTTAATTTTATTCTGTTAATTATTTTACAAAGATAAAAATTCTTTCACTGA